TGCTAGTTCAGTTAAAAATGGACGTCACACTAAACTCCAAAACATACAAATGAACTAAAATTAAAAAACATACTAGACTAACAAAGGGCAGAGGCTCCTGACTTGGGACAGGCGCAAAAGTCTTGTGAACTTGAGCATATGTTGGATGCTAGTGTTAGAAAAGGGATATGATGCAGAGATCTTGTCCGTTTAGGATAAGTTTAAATGAATGTATATAAATGTTATGATTCTTGTTCGTTATTTGATTGGTTATTGCAGTGAGAATTATTTGAATGAAATTTTTAGTATTATATTTGTATGTAAAAAAAAACACTCTTCTAGAGAATTTCTTACTTGTTATCTAATGAGATTGAAACAGTCCTTTATATTCACGTCCTTAAAAGATTAACTGGTAAAATATTGTTATGGTTGTTAAAATATTTCTTATTTTGAATGAGAAAAAAAGGAAACTGTAATTTAGAACTTATCATTCTTGTTTTATATCCTTGTATTAACAATAAATATTCCACCTAAGGTGCTCTAGAATTTAAACTTTTGAAAAACATTCATTTTAAATCCATTATATGTTTTTCACATTAAGTCTGGTTTTAGTGTTGAGAAATTCACAGCATCTCATCATTTTAATGGTGCCGTAAACCTAGGTTTACTAAGCTGTGATCCATTTTGAAAAATTACCTTTAATATTCGGGTGCTTTTATTGTGTCTGTATTTTGATACTTTATACAAGAGAAATGTCTTTTATTGTAGTGCACTTTTATGTATAGTAGTTGATAGATGTTTTGAATTTTTTTCTCGTTATTGGACGTTATACTTAAAGGCGTATACGTGTATGGAAGTGACTGTTTTTGTCAAGTCAATAATTCAATCAAATCTTAGTAATTCATGAAATCGTTTCACGTTTCTGACATCGGACTCGGACAACTTTTAAACTGAGTTTTACTGTGCGTATTGGTGTGTGTTTGTTTACTCTACATTGGCTAGAGGTATAGGGAGATGGTTGAGATCTCACAAAACATGTTTCACCCCGCCGCAATTTGTGCGCCTGTCCCAAGTCAGGAGCCTCTTGTATGTTTTTTTTTAATTTTAGTTCATTTATATATTTTGGAGTTTGGTGTGACGTCCATTTTCATTGAACTAGTACACATTTTGTTTATGGATCAGCTGAAGCCCGTCTCCGGGTGCGTGATTTTCTCACAGTGTTGAAGACCCACATGGAAATGAAGGAAAAAAAATCACATGAATGAATTTTCTGGTTTGCCTTTTATGGAAGATACTGAGATGTGGAATGAATGTGCATGATACAACGTATCTACAAATAAAAATGGCAGCTCTATTTACTACTAAATTTGATGCATATCTTTGTCACCAAGCCTCTACCTGTAATCAACCTCGCCAAACTGGCTGGGTGATAAAGATATTCCACACCCTGACGTCCCTACAATTTGTATAATTAAATTGTACTTCCAGCCTTCAACCGTTAATTCAACAATGTCATTTAGTATGACTGCTTGATATTCAGTTTTATTGACATGGTGGTGCCAAAATGTTTTGTAAAATAAAGTTTATATATGTTATTTCCAGTTTTTTTTATGTATGAATTAGAGAAAAAAAAATGGGTAAAAATGTAACACTCATCTACAAAGCAGTATGAGATTTCAAAATCTAGAGGTTCCCACGGTCTTCAACATGGGTGATACATCTCTGTATGAGCTAACTTCTAGAAACCCGATCCAAAAGGAAATGTTCTGAAGTTTCTTGAAAATATATGGACAAATGTTCATTAGACAGCTATAGAGAAATTTTTTCAAATTAAAAGATATAGAAAAAAAAGTTTGAAACGAACAGTTTTTATGTCACCTCACTATAGTTATCACTTGGTGTTCGTTGTCTGTGGGTATGTTCTCCATCTGAAGAAACGTGTGCATGAGACACCTATAGGGAAAAAATTTAAAATAAAAAGATATAAAAAAAAAAAAGTTTGAAACAAACAGTTTTTATATCACAGTGTAAAAGAAATCATTATGAGCTAGATCTTCTGGCTTTTGTTTAATCTGTTGTGGCCAATTTCCATATGATTTTATTCTAATTATGAAATACATCATATTCGGATGGACTGGTTTGAAACGGAAGAGGTCTGAAAAGTAACAGCCTGAGTCTGTTTCCAAATCCATGATTAATCATTAAAGACTAACATTCATTTATATACCACCACCACCTGAAGTCTCCGCAATTCGTATAATTAAATTGTACTTCCAGTCTTCAACCTTTAATTTAACAATGTCATAAAGCTGTTTTAATTCTATGAATCTACTCAAACTATACTTAAATAATAAGATATATATCTGTCCCTTTTTTGTTGTAAGCAAAACCTGGTAATGTAACCTTAGAATTTTCATTTTGAATTTTAACAACATATATCTAAATTTCAAAAATAAATAAAGGTTCTGTAACGTAGAGACAAAATGGATGCCACCCTCATACCCTTGTCACCAACCAACTCTCTCTCTCGTATTAACTGACTCTAGCCAAATAACAATTTAGCCAAGCAAGGCAAAACTAGCCAAATAACAATTTAGCCAAGCAAGGCAAAACTAGCCAAATAACAATTTAGCCAAGCAAGGCAAAAGTGGGTAACAACCCAAAATTCTGTAACGTGGAAACAAAATGGACGTCATCTCAAACATAACCTTGTCACCAACCAATACTGCTCTACCCTGAAAAATTCTGAAACGTGGAAACAAAATGGACACCAAACATATCCTTGTCACCAACCAATGTTGCTCTACCCTGAAAAATTCTGCAACGTGGACACAAACATACCATGGTCACTAGCAAATATTTGCTCTACCTTGCTCTACCTGCTCTACTGGCTGCTTATCCCTATTCTACTACTACTTATCTCAGATATTATAAGCAATAGGTTGATAATATGTGATGTATGGAATGATTGCAAGGTGTACATGTTCATCTTACCATGACCACATTTCATGGTTCCTGGTTCAAAGTTTGTCTAGCTTGCGATGAAAGTCGCGGAAAGCAAGACATATGTGCTGCTTTTCTGGCGGCGTTGGCGACGGCGGAGGATGCGTCAACAATTGTTAAGTATTTTGCTTAAGTTATTTTGATAGGAAATACTTGTGATATATAAATGATATTTTGTATAAAGTTGCATTACTATCAGAACATATCAAATTGACGACTATTTCGAGGCCATGCCCCCCTAGGTCATGGTCCAGCGACTTTCAAATAATTTTAATTACCAATTTGCAATGTTAAAATGTCTGCTAAGTTAGTTTGATAGGAACTACTTATGACAGACAATGATATTTTCTATAAAGTTGTGTTACTATCAGTGCATCTCAATTAGTCGACCATTCGAGCCCCTGTCATTTATTTCATGGTCCAGCGACTTTGAATTAATAAGCAATGATGCTGTCCAACAGATTGTCTATTCTTAATTGTCTGCCGACAAGCGAGACATATCTCTGTGTCAACAGTTTATCTTGGTTAGGTCTGTTTCTCAGATAATGTAAGCAATAGGTTAACCATATTTTTTGTATGGATTTTTACCTCATTTGCATGCATCATTGATGTAAATTTTATGTTACCTTTTTCTCAACATAAATTCTATCATGGTCAGTAAGGTATGCGAGACATTTCAGCGTTTAAGAATCAAAACAAATTTAAGTTTAAATTTTGACCAATAAAAATATATGTAAAGTAAACTGAAGAACAACATACATAACTGTCACACATGTTTGAAGAATACCTCCGCATCGACCACTTTTAAATTTAACTAATCTGATCACTTACAACTGTTCGAAGATACCTTAAAAATCAAGTCAAGAATTTGATACGTTATAACAATAACCCCGCTCAGTGAAGTGATCTTAACGTCCATTCGTTAATGTGATATTTATGTTGGCTACTCTTTTTAAACAAAGACCTGGAGTCCAGTTAATCCTTTGAAGAATATTTATTGTCTAATTATATTTTGCTCTTCTTATTTTAGTTTTTGATGCAAAGGATTTCTGTAGTTTCCAATCGCAAAATATGGACTTCGCCGTATGAACAAAAGGGGTAGGCATATTATATTGTACCCACAACTCCTCAAGAAGTATGACTGGATTTGAATTACACTTTAACAGAATCTTTAATATATAATATTATTATAGACCTTTAAATCTATTCTTCGATCCGAATTATTTTCGGAATTAACTTTAGTAGATGGATTTTGACATATTTACGAAAGGTCATAGACACCTTGTATTCTTTTCTCCTTGATTCTTGACTTGATTTCAATTAATCTTCTCTGAGACTATTATGACACAGAGGATTAGTAGCTTCACGTTATGACCAATCAGATCAAAAAAGGCTTTCGAATTCGTGCACTGTCCCCTAAATTTCTTATGTCGCTATGCTTATTTTAACAATAAGAACCCATTGTTCGATGACGTCGTTTACGTAAAATCTAACATTTATAAAAATCGAAAGGGAGCTTACGTCAATAGATAAAAACAATTCACCAAAGTTTTATGAAGACTGCTCAAAGCATTTTTGATTAATTGTCCGAAAACTGGAAAATCCCCCTTTTTTAATGAATAAAACCCAATAACTCGGAAACATAAAATCTAAATTTATAAAAATCGAAAAGGAGCTTACGTCAATAGATATAAACAATTCACCAGAGTTTCATGCAAATTGTTTAAAGCGTTTTTATGTTATTGTCCGACATGTTGACGGACGGACAGACAGACAGACAGACAGACGGACGGACGGACGGACGGACAGACAGACAGACAGACAGACAGACAGACAGACAGACAGACAGACAGACAGACAGACAGTATACCATAATACGTCCCGTAAACAGGCGTATGAAAAAACACACAAAAACAACTATCAAAAGGACTTAAGACACAAAGTAAAGATCTTAGAGTACTTACTAGCAGTTACTGAAAGCTAGGACCGCAAATGTTCATAGCTGTATAACAATGATATGTAGTTATGCTTTAATTTATTGATAAAACAATCAATGTTAGTACCGATAAAAACAATATTCAAAGAAATTGTTACAGTGTTAAATTGATAACCTTTCAGAATAAGTGTATTTAAAGGATCCATAAGTTTACACGGATCTATAAACAACGTCACCGTAAAAATTAGGATGTGATATGTTGTTTGTAATAAATTTTGTAGGACCATGACTGTACATATGTAAAAAACAATAATATTTAGTTGGGTTTTAATTTATTGATAACAAAATCAATATTTATATCGATAAAAAAGAATATTCAAATGTCTAATAGTAGTGTTGAATTGGTAGAAGTTTATTTAAAGGTTCGTTAAGTTTACCCGAATCGTATCTAAATTTACGGGCTCGGTAAACAACATCACCGTAAAAATTAAGATGCACTATCCCGTTTGTAGTAAGTTTTCTGTAGTTACAGCCAAACTTCAAAAACAAATCTCTATATCTATGAAAGAATTTAGTAAAGGTTTTAAGTAATTCGTGGTCACAAAATCCCTAATTTACCAGTTTTACATAGCTTACGTTGATTGAAATATAAAACGTCACTAAATTCAATGATATCATCATCTTTCTAACATAATTTTATTGTCACATCTTCAGCTGACGATCCATATTTACCAAGTTGTGTACACGTATAGAAGAAACAGTTCGGGATCAAATGTTGAGTGACAAAATACGAATTTACTGCAACGCTTTCACATAAAAGCAATAAAAATCATCGGTAACAATCTTGATGAAGATAAGAGTTAAAACCATATTGGCACTGTACAACAAACCTATGGTGATTTATCTGGTAATTAAACCGCTTATTGTATATACTTGAGACCAAACTGTTATTGTCAACGCTGGTCCAACGGAATGTCAGGCAACTTCCTTCCAACGTTTGGAGTTCTAGCTGGTTCTATGTATCCGTTTGTTCCTAAATTTACTGTTGAGATATTTATATCATTCGTATTAACTGTTTGTTTGATATCGTTGGGTAAATTGACTGGCTGAACATTTGATTCCTGCGTGGAAGTAAATTGTCTATTCTGACCATTATATCCAGAAACTGAACCGTCCCTTATTTCAAGATATGGATGGTAAACATCTGTTGACTGTGCATATATGTGATCATATACTCTGCTGTCCCTTCTTGTTATTTCATATTCGTTCGGTGTGGTATTGATGACCTCTAAATTGTCTATTTCTAACCTATCTTTTCTAGCTTTTTGTTTTCTAAAAGAAAAAATATGTACATGTAAAGCTTATCTAAATGGAAAACTTTTATTACAAAATGCATTAAGTAGCTGTATTTATTCGATTTATTCGGTGTTGAATGGATTTTGTATAATACTTGTTAAATTTAACGAAATCTTCGAAGAGGCCTCCTAAATCGTCCAAACAAGAGTCATGAAATAGTAGTTATGAGGACACACACACATAATAGTCATGAAATGATTTTAATCACAGTGCATGAAACAAAAAGGGATATACAAGTGCCTTTCTAAGTTGTCAGTACAAAAGTTCTGAAATAAAAGTTAGGGAAAACATTTGCCTTCCTAAGTTTAACAAACGGAAATAAAATAAGAGGACAAACGCGCAATAGTCAATGATATAACATTTAAGGGACAAACCTGTGCCTTCCTAATTTGTCCAAAAAGTGTTCAGTTGTCCAAACAATAGTGATGAACAAAAAAAGGACAAACACACAATAGTCATGAAATAAAGGTTAAAGAGTACAAACATTTGTCTTCCTATAAAATGTCAAATAATAAGTTAGGGAAAACATGTGCCTTCCAAAGCTGTCCAAACAAAAGAAATGAAATTATAGGACAGACGCAGTTACAAATATTACTGATATTTTAATTGATTCTGCAAAAGCAACATTTGGTACACATAATTTTAATAGAAATATGCTGAATTGTAATAGAAAGCATAATAAACAATGGTATAATTTTGATTGTAAAAAGGCAAAGAATGAACTGAGAAAGGCACACAGAATGTATAAACATTATGGGTCAAATTTATTTAAAGAACGATTACGACACTGTGAATATTACTATAAAAGTGTAATGGATGAAAACATTAAGAAGTATAATAAAAAAATAAGTGATAATATGAAAAAAATAAAATCCAAAAATCCCAAAGAATTTTGGAAACTTTTTAACAGAGGTAGACAACGAGAAAAAAGCAATATATCTATTGAAACTGTATTTGATTTTTTTAAAGAATTGAATGAAAACAAGTTTGAAGACGAGTTTGTCATCGATAATGATTTGAACTCAAATCATGTAAATGAGACACTGAATGAATTACACATGACGAAATTATTAAAGCTATTAAAAAGGCGAAAAACAACAAATCGCCAGGTGAAGATAAAATAATCAATGAATATGTTGCAAATTCTCTTGACAGTATGATTGATGTATATTCTAAATTGTTTAATCTTATTTTTGATACGGGTATTCTGCCGGAGGCCTGGCTTATTGGAAACATAATACCAGTGTTCAAGAACAAAGGATGTCAATTAGAAGCAAAAAATTATAGGCCTATTACTTTATTGTCATGCCTCGGTAAGATTTTTACATCTATTCTTAATGATAGATTGGGGGAATTTGTTGATGAACTAAATATCTTGAACGAAAACCAAGCAGGCTTCCGACAGGGCTACTCTACCAACGATCATATTTTTTCATTATATGCACTCTTCGAGTTGCTATGTGTCAAACGAAAAAAATTACATTGTGTATTCGTTGACTTTGAAAAAGCCTTCGACTTTGTTCAAAGAAACTCACTTTTGTATAAGCTTGTTTTAAATAAGATAACTGGTAAATTTCTTAGAATTGTAGAAAATTTGTATAAAGATGTTAAATCAAGAGTTGTACATAATAATGAAGCATCTGACATGTTTGTAAGTGATATTGGAGTCCGCCAAGGAGAAAGTCTTTCTCCTTTATTATTTTCTTTATATTTAAATGATCTTCATGGATTTTTAGAAAAAAGTGATTTAAAAGGTATACATTCAATTACTTCTGATATAGAAGATGAACTGGATATTTATTTTAAGATATTTGTCTTATTGTATGCTGACGATTCGATTTTACTCGCTGAGACAAGCACAGATTTGCAATTACTTTTAAATAGTTTTTCTCAATATTGTGAAAAGTGGAAACTTAAAATTAATGTTAACAAGACAAAGGTAATGATATTTTCAAAAGGTAGACCACAGAATAATATGAAGTTTTATATTAATAACGAAGAGATAGAAATTGTTAAGAACTATAAATACCTTGGTGTTATATTCTCTAGAAATGCTTCTTTTTTTGCAACTAGAAAATATCTTAAAGATCAAGCTACTAGAGCTATGTATTGTGTTATTAAGAAGTGTAGATCTAACCATCTATCTATAGAATGCCAGCTCGATATGTTTGATAAAGCTGTTTTACCTATACTTTTATATGGGGCCGAAATCTGGGGATACGAAAATCTTGACATTTTGGAAAGGGTACATTTGAGTTTTTGTAAACATGTTTTACGGTTAAAAAGATCGACTCCAAATTTTATGGTTTACGGGGAATTGGGAAGATATCCTATTTCTTTATATGTTAAATTACGGATGATAAAATTTTGGTGTAACCTTCTTGATAACACACTTGATAACAAGATTTCGTCAATGTTATATAAGTTGATATATATTAATTTTAATAAGTATGGAATTGAAAACAAATGGTTGTTATGTATCAAAAGTATTTTTGATAATTGTGGAATGTCAAACATATGGCAAAATCAAGATTGTATCTCAAAAAAATGGATTGTATTAAGCATTGAACAAAAGTTAAAAGATCAGTTTAGACAAGAATGGCTAGCAAATGTAAATCAATCATCAAAAGGTCTATGTTATAAATTATTCAAAACAGAACTTAAATTTGAAAATCATATTTCAATTTTATCGTTAAATAATGCACTGAAACTATGTAAATTTAGATGTGGCAATCACCGTTTGCCAGTGGAGACAGGGAGATGGCAAAATGTTCAAAGACCCGAGAGACTATGCCATCTTTGTGAATCTACTGACATCGGCGATGAATTCCATTATGTAATGTCTTGTCCTTTTTTCAAAAAAGAACGATATAAATATTTACCACACTATTGTTGTACAAATGTTAATATTCTTAAATTTAAAAATGTATTCACTACAGTCAATATTGTCTTACTAGAAAAATTGTGTAGATTTATAAACTATATATCAGTGAAAGTCTGTCCTCCTGGTTAAATTACATTTATTTATGTATATTTCACACATGCAAAATATGTTGTATTTTGTTTATATTTTCATCTCTGTAACTATTTTATTTAGGTAATGAGAATAAAGATCTATCTACATAATAGTTAATGAAATAAAAGTAAGTGGACAAACACCTGTCATTATAATTTGTCCAAACAATAGCAATGAAATAAAAATTAGGGACACACATGTGCCTTCTTAAGTTGTCAATAATCATGAAATTAAAGTAAGAGGAGACACAAGCTAATTGCATTAGTGGATAGAAGATTTTCATTTCTATTGATGTTTTTCTTACTCTGTTCTCGAAAACGAACAAAAGGCAAACTAATACATCCATGTGCCTTAAGAAAATTACATGAACAATTACTTCTTAGACTTCTTAATTAATTTTTTCTGTAATATATAAAAAAAAGGTAAGTTGATTAAAATACTTACTTTCTCCAAATAACAACTACAATGACAGTTACAAATACAAAAGTCACTCCCAAAACACACCCAACTATAATTCCTGAAAATATATAAAAGACAAAACTTTAATTGAAAAGTTAAACTATTTAGATTTGTTGTTCCAATATGATGCGACAGTGACAAACTTGATTTCAAGCAATTGTAAGCTAAGTTTTGTATTGGTATTAGGTCAAATGTCTAGCTGTCATATGGGGGTCTCATTGGGTGGGGGGTGGGGGGTCTAATCTCGGATCCCGCTTATTGTTTTATCAGATTCCCGTATCCCGCTTATCATTTTTTTAGTTTCCCATTTCCCGCTTATATTTTTTTTTTCTATAAGAGGTCGCCTTGCAAGAGCCCTCCTGTCGGTATATCACACTTGTATTACCATTGGCAATATATCAGGGAGCCGATAAATGGCTTACTGGTGTCACAAATTTAGCAATGATACAAAAAGTTTGTCAGTGACTCGCCAAAGGTGGGTGGTACTCTGGGCGCCAGGACTGTGAGAAGCGTAACTACATGTCCAATAAACTGTGGGTAAAAATTGCGGCAGGGGATCTGGGACCGCTGATTGCACCCAGCAGGTCTAGGGTAGATTTGAGAGTACTCGAAGTTGCTGAAAGCTAGTTGATTGATTGATTGATTGATTAATTGCTAAAAATGGCAAATAGTTCATGATTGTTCAGGACAAAAACAAATTTACCTAGGTCCTGATCGTCGAGGATGATGATCTGGAATTTTAGAAATGCAATGCATAGAAAATGTGGTTTTCTTGGATAGGAACATAGATTTTGCCTTTAAGTTGACCACCTACGAACCCCTCAAAGAGTTGTTGCAAGTTGCTTAACGTGTAGAGAGCGTGGCATTCTCTCTACACTAGCGGCATCAGATTTAACGTCCCCATTCTGACCGGACGTGACTGCGTAATTATACATTAGTTTATGCATAAACAAACGAACGCCTAACTTCGGCAAGGATTTTATTGTAGGTCGGATAAGGACCATGTGGAAAGCTAGTTGAAAGTCAACAACAATTAATAAAAAATAAATCATGTATATAAAAAAAGGCAGGGTTTTGAGCATGATGAGGCTAATTCAAGTATTTGTTGATAGAAATGAAATAATCTGAACCAAAGATCCCCCTAGTTTTTAGTTTATATAAGGTGGAATATAATGACATTCTATCCAATACTCAATATACTAAGGATGATATACTAGTGTACAAATGACATTTGATAATTAAAGAGTTTTACCGAGTTCACATGTATCTACAGATAATGTTGTTTTTTTTTTGTATATAAAAAAAATATTTGTGAAAAAAATATGTGTATAGGTACGTGCCTAAAGTGCATAACGGCAGCTACGCCCCTGACTGTCATAAGATTATATTGAGAAAAAACGGAATACATTTGATATGATCAACAAACAAAAATTACTTATATCCCAATCACACTAGGACCACGATCCCACTACGATCTCAGAAATTATAAAATTTTGAAAGTCAAAGTAAGATCGTGGTAAGGTCGTAATAAGGACATTCCAAGTCTTCATGATCGTGGAGCTTTGAATATGCTCAAAATATTCGTAGTGTAGTCATGGTCAAAACTAGTTGAAGTAGAACCGTATGAAGTCAGTCGTAGTGAGGACGTAGTTAGATCGGGATGGGCGTAGAAGCATCGTATTGGAAACGTGGTGTAATCGGGGTAGCCAATGGAAAATATTTCGCTGCAACCTTAGATAGGCCTATAAGATTTCACTGCGACTATCCCGATTTCACTATAGGTCTTAATTACGCTTCTACAATATTGATTGATTCGATTATTCTACGATGAGGAAGACAATAATGCGCTGCTACTTTGCCCTTGTCGTCCTTGTCCACATCACTACGATTCTAAGTTACGTGCTAGCCACGAGAATTGTGTTATACTAGTATTTCCTAATTTGCAAATTGGAAATTTCAAAATTGCATATTTTTTTTGAGACCTCTGCTTTTTATTTAGCACCCCGATCTCTAAGTGTTTTAATACCTTTAGTGGAAAGTTATCTCCAGGAAACTGATGTGTACAATGGGAAAGTCAAGATATTTATAGGGACGAAGAGCGTAGTGACAACGAAGTGGAGTCGTTTTTCGATCGTAGTAGACACGTATTGAAATCGTAATGCGTTCGGGAAGGTTTTGGAAGAAGCGTTCAGAGATCGTGTAAGTCGTGGTAAGGTCTTATTAGACGCAGCAAGAGCGTGACAAGATAGTAACTATTGAACGTGTTACTGTCGTAGCGAAATCGTAGCAGGATCTTATCAGGATCATAGCAAGATCGCAGTATCAACGTGAAAAGTATGAAATAAATTAATGAATATTCAAGCCAACCATACCACGATCTCACCGCAATCTTATCTATTTTAGTTAGTAAATCACTCAAGTATGAGGTCAACTCCTTATTCATGGTCTTGGTCTAGTGTGATGGGGCTTTACATCCACTTCATTTGAACTTTGGTGGACATCTGTCTCATTAGCAGTCAATCCACATCCTTTTTTTTCATTTTTTGACAACAAATTTTGATTCACGCTTAATAAAATGATGACTTTCCCGGATTCCCGGCTCATTTTTAGGTAATTTCACGTGTCCCGCCCGACTTTATTTCCCGTATTCAAGGAAAATAATTTGACTTTCACGTGTCACGCTTACAAAAATCGGCTAATCCCGCTTCACGCCTAGACCCCAATTAGACCCACTCATATGACAAATTAAGAGTATTTTCTTTCATTGTCAACCTGCAATTTAAATTCCCTTCTCTGAAATGACCGATTCAAATTTCAACCAAAGCTGACCTGAATGATTATTTTGGTATTAATCACTAAAGTTTGTATATTCTGTCCATGCAAAACAACGAGAAGAGATCAAAGACTCAAACGGCTGGGTTGTGCAGAATGTTTCTTAAACAATGGAGAATGCTATATAAAGAACATTTAAATATTTAAAAAATGACCAAGTTCTTAAGTCTGGGAGAAAAATCCTCAAAAAATTCCATAATAGCAGGTGCACATCTTCAACATATGTGCAATCTTCCTATAAGTTTCAGGGATCTATGTTGAAAATTGAAGGAGGAGTTAATCACACAAAACTTGTACCCACTTTCAAACATTTTGTTAAAAAAGACTAAGTTCCCAAGTATAGAAACTCCTCAAACAAATTCCTCAAACAAATCCATTATAGCTGGTGCACAACTTCAACATATGTGTAATCTTCCTGTGAAGTTTTTGAGTCTGAGTTGAAAACTGTAGTAGGAGTTGATAACACAAAACTTGTACCCTCTTTCATAAGTTTTGCTAAAGGCACTAGCTACGATAACCCGCAAACAGTAACAATAAGAAATAATTATTGTTATTTCAGACGCTAATTGCCGAAATGTGTCTCCGGACAGGGATCCGATTTCATACGGAAATTGCAGGTAACATAATATCATTTTTTATTGTTACCTGCAGTTATTATTGCCTGTTAAATTTTTACATTTGCAAATAATGTCCTTTTTTGTATGTGTAGCATCGGGATTTTCTGTACTGTCTTCGTATACGTTGTTTTACATATTTGAACAAATCTATATGAATAGTCAATAGAAAATTATTTATTGAACATAGCAATGATAAATTGAAATCACATTTTTACATATTTAGAATTCTTTTAGCTATTTATTTTGTTGGCAACTCCTGCACATCCAGTATGTCTCCATTTTAATGCCAACACATTTCAGCGAGTACCACTCTTAACACCCGTTTTTATCTATAACAACAGCAACAATTTTTATTTGTCAATCAAGACTCCCCAAGAAGCATGATTTTTTTTAAAAATTACAATAAACTAAAACCATATAGGAAATGGGAGACAACAAACACACTGTATTCCCAAATATAATGAGTGAGTGAACACAATCAGTACCGTTGTATTATTTGAGGAAGAGCTGGCGGGCCACTCATGTCTTATTACTTAATTTTGCTCTTCTATTCTTTATTAAGCTATATATAGATCCATATCTATACACGTCCCCTCACACAAAATAGTTTCATTCTGAATACACTCGAGTTGTTTTAATGAATGAATTACACTGGTCGACCCGATGTCTGTCGGTGTTAACGAAGTCATCAAACAATCAGCTCTTACTGTGATGTAATAGAACAAGCATTGTGACATTTACGGAGAGGTGCACGAATTTTAAAGTCGTCTACAGTTTAGCTATGTTAATGATTTTTACATCATAATTTCATTGCTTAAATTTATTTCACAGAATGCTCGCAACTCAAACATTGTTAGATCAGAGCCTGTCTGAATATATTTTGAGGGTAACAACAAACTGCAGGTAACAATAAAAATTATATTATTGTTACCTGCAAATAAAAATTATATTATTGTTACCTGCAAATTCAGTTTAGACAATTAGTCTCGGAAGTAACAATAATTATTTCTTATTGTTTCTTTTTGCGGGTAATAGCCAGTGCTTTGCTAAAATATGAGTTCCCAAGTATGGAAAAATTAGAAAAAAAATCTCAAACATTTCCATAATAGCAGGTGAACAACTTGAACATATGTGCAATTTTCTTGTGAAGTTTCAGAGATCTGGGTTGAAAACTGTAGGAGGAGGAGTTGTTTACACAAAATGTGTATCCACTTTTTCACGTCCGCCCACTCCCCCCGACATCATTTACTATAAGTTGGTTTTGGACTTCGTCTAAGCAGGCAAAAAATGGCCGCCACGGCTTAAAATAGAAGAATATAAATTAAAGCAAGTAATTGTTTAATGTTTTGAAAAAAAAACATAACGGATAGAAAAAAATCTGTTCTTAATTGGATAAAAAAAAACCTCAGAATGTTAAGATCAATCTACTTTCCATTCTACCAAAATTATTAAACGAACTGTTATACGAAGCATTGCCTTTGAATGACGATCATTTTTTCACCGAATCTATATCCAGAAACTTTAAAAGGAAAAATGTTCAGAAATGCTAGCTACATGTATATAAAACTGATAATCAGATAGTGTGTGTCCCTTAAATGATAGGTGAAAGATACCAAGGGATATCCAAACTCATAAGTCGAAAGCAAACTGACAATGCCAAAAAACGAAAAACGACAAAAAGACAAACAGCAATACACAAAACACAACATAGAAAACTAGATACTGAGCAACACGAACCCCACCAAAAACGGGGGGGAGGGTGATCTCCGTTGCTCCGGAAGGGTAAGCTGATCCTTCTCCACATGCGGCACCCATCGTGTTGCTCATGTAATTACACACCCGGTGATAAGTCTAATTCGGTAGATCACATTCGAGGAAAAGAGGTTGAGATTGTCATTACAACAGTTGGAACATACTCGTCGTGATCTGTAAAACAGATATTCCATAACGGTCAACCAACTCGTGATGGCGTCCTTAGAATTTTCGAAGGGATCATTTCATTTCACCACTTGGAAATGTTGGTTCAATAGCTTCCTTGTAAGCATCAACCTTAAAAGAGACATTAACTGTCGTAATGCGCATCTGGTGCAGCAAAATTGGCACGTTAATGTTATTCAAGTATATCATAGTGTTACCATTTGAATTTCAATGTTTGCATTGTTATTTTTTCTGTCCATCTGATGTGTTGCCTGTTTTTTTAAGTTTTTTTTATTTTGTCCAATGGCGTCTTGTTTCATTTTTACAAATGAAGAGAAAAAGTTTTCATCTTCTGTATTTCAACATTGCTATGTTATTCTTTCTTTACAGTTTTGAGTTGTCTCCCCTTTTCAATCGATAGTCATGATTTAGTTCTCAATTTTCTGAGAAAAAAAATTTCTGCTTAAAGCTTTATTTTTCCTTGTATTATATGGGTTACAGGCAACAGTTTGCCGATGTTCAAATCTTGCAAATCCATTTAAAATATACAAATTAAGATAAAAAAAAAAGAAGCCATAGCTGAGGGACTCGCGTAAACTCCAAACCGGCCGAGATCAGGTGCGTCGCATTTCCTGCTATGCATACATCACACACCAAGTCAAAATTTCATACTAAAAAATAGGACAAAATCAGTAAATTTACTCATCAGACAACTTTTCTGGTATATACATATCTGAGACTGCAAAAAGATTTCACTTTTGAGATGAGAAACAGACACTAGTATCGGTCAAGCGTGATGTTGAACGATAAACTGTTGTGTCGATTGGAATTATTTAAAATAATATGAAAATAATTTTATTAGTATTTGTATCTAGATTTGTTATTTAATGATGAATAAAATTTCATACATATAATAAAATTGGATTGTTTTAGCCACAGTGTTGCTTGTTTTGCTTGGTTTTTGATTGCCTTTTGTTATCTTCCGAAATTTACTTTTATATCATACCAAAACTAGCTTTAATCAAGTGGTACATCTTGTGCATGAAGGTTCCATAACCATGACAACTAAACCCATACAGAGGTTGTGTAATAAAATTCCTGATAAATGAGTTCATCCTACCTATTTCTTGTCTTGTTGAATATAAAATTGTGCAGTTCCAAACATAGTCTTCTCATTTCAGGTCTGGAATCTTCATTTCAGGCAGTGGCATGAATCAAAGTGGGAATACATTTTTGTTTACATAACTAATAAAAGATATCAAATCACGAACCTGTCATTGAATCTCCATCATTGTGCGTCTTCGTATTTCTGGGAGGTGTTGTTGACTGGTGTTGATTTGTTCCTGTAATAAATATAAAGTTTGTAACTGTAAATATTAGCAAGTTACTATAAACGTAATCTTATGCTGAAGACCTTTAATACGAGAGGCTCAAGACTTTAAACACTTTTTTCAGAATATAAAAGAAAAGTTATACCTTTTAAGAATTGGGAGTCTGACGAAAATCTCAATAAAAAAGTTTGGTTTAGGACATTACTTTCTTATAAAAACGATTTATTATATTAGAATACCAAGGCTGATTTTTGTGAATTACGTACTATACCAGTACGATAAGAATCAATACATTGCATATACCTATTGCACAAATAAAGGGCAGGTCCGTCTGTTCTGTCGTCTGTATGCAGTTAACATTTCCCATGTTTGTTTTTACACATTTTGCACCTCTAGCGATACGTAATCCTGGTATCATGCCATCTAGAACATTATCAATAGAAAGAACATTTAAAACGGTTCATAGCTATCAGTTAGAGAATATGCAGTTGACATGGAAACTATATGTTATACTATGTTCACCCAATCTTGCAATTAAATTCGAATAAACATTACGTCAGTTTTGTTTGCAGTTCACTCGTTCACCTACTGATTTCAACAACACACATTTGTAAACAGATCAATTTTCTTCACCAAGGTAAGATGCCTTTTTCTAGGGTGAACCTTTAAAACCAGTTTTAAAAATATCATAAGCATTTAATGAATTTTTCGAATTTATTGAGAAAAAAATCACGATGTCTATACTAGTATATAGATATATCAAGAATATGTGTCTCCATAACACACAATGCCCAATTGCATTATCACATTTCCTTGCTCAGAGAACCGCGAAATCTAGGTCAAAACCTTTATTTGGCATATATATATATTAAACAGTTCACTTCATTATGATCATGACTATACCAATTCTCAATTTATGGTGACAACAAACTACAAACATAATGCCCCTCTTCTATCGAAAAATAAGGAGTTGAGGTATGGTCGCCAACGGACAACTATCCACCAGTGACCAAAGGACGAGGATGTACGCCACTATAGGTCCTCGTAAGGCCTAAACCAAGAACAAACCCGTTACCGTATAATAAGCTAAACACAAAATACCACGGCTTGACAAAATATTAACGTTTACGATATTTTCTATACATTTATTGCTGAAACATATGTATTGTAATTTTGTAAAATGTTTGTTAATTAACAAAAGAGGACATTTTAAGTTGGAGAAGCTTGGGTCTCATTTATGAGGAATTAAAGACATGAACGAATGAATGAATAATTTAGATAATACTTCGTCATGTTCTATGAACATTTAAAAAACCCAAGCCGAGGCAGAAGTACTGGACTGATAAAAAAAAGTCCTGACCAATCTTAACGATGTAAAAGCTATTAGAATAATGTACAGGTTAGACAACAGTCGTCAACGAAGTTCATGTAATTCTGATATTTATCAAAGTTCAGGCCTGCGTTTAAAGTAACTACCAGTTGTAAATTCTATAGTTTGTTCTTTCTCGGAGGAGGGGGTTGGCCACTTCCTATATACAAGGTAATAGGACGTGCCGCTCGTATAGGTCACAATTTTCAGCTTGCAAATATTCGAATAGGTGGGGAAAACTATCAGTAATATATGATAAGATCAATAAAGTTCTCATTGCTTGTTATATGAAAAGCCCTGTATTTTTTTTCACAGCCGAAAGTCTCGCCATAAGTTAACATATTACATAAGGAATTTGACACTTTCGTATTCCACTTTTGCAACACACCACACCTCACGAATCCCAACCAGTATGGGAAAAGGTTACATTTTTACCTACGCAATAAATGAAAAGGTATACATTTTTAAAATCTAAATTATATGAAAAATGTGGGGAAATTTAGTATTGATGTGACCCCCCGAGAGTTTGTAAACAATTTACAAATGGCTTTAAGTCATATGACCTGAAAAAAAAGACATTAATTTGCATTTTTGTAACCAATTTTCCACGATATGCAATTTTTACAACAGATATAACAACAAAAAACCGTCATTTCAAAGTTAGAAAAACGGACAAAAAATTGTGTAAACTGAACCTGTTTCTATTAATATTACAAAAAGAGCGCTCAAATTTCAAACAAGGAAAGTTTTCTTTATATGACACCATTAGTAAAATGTAAAATTAAACAGGGAATGTGGCTGTTCAAGGTTATGAAGACTCGAGATGATTCTTCTTTTCACACATTTGTTTGACCGTTATTATAATGCTCACCATAAGGAGTAAAAGTAAATCTAAAAGGCCCAATCCATGCTATGCGGGAGGTTGAGTTATGACACTGATAAACAGATAAATAGGATCCAACCTTTTGAGAACAGGATATTAATCCATTGTTGTATGTCACTACATCTGTAACATCACCAGTATCTGGAAAAGATTCAGAGCCAAAAACATAAGAATAAATAAAACATAACACAACATATAATAGGAAATATTCGTTACAAGTCTGTTTCAACCATAATACTGACTTTTCTCTCGCCTTGTAGTTGCTGAAAGTATTTGCTCTGTGAGCGTACTAGCTTTAGTTGTGCTTCATTTGTCACGTGCTATGTAAGTGTACTAGCTTTAATTGAGCTCCATTTGTCGAGTGCTCTGTAAGTGTACTAGCTTGAGTTGTGCCTCATTTGTCACGTGCTCTGTAAGTGTACTAGCTTTAGTTGTGCTTCGTTTGTCACGTGCTCTGTAAGTGTACTAGCTTTAGTTGTGCTTCATTTATCACGTGCTCTATACGTGTATTAGCTTTAGTTGTACTTCATTTTTTCAAGTGCTCTGTAAGTGTACTAACTTTAGTTGTGCTTCATTTGTCACGAACATTGTAATTTTGATTTGTGCGATGCCAATGCCTTATTTATAATCCGAGATTTTAGTATATAATAAAGGACTGTCGGCACTGAACGATACGACACCAGAATGATAACAAGGGATTGCTAAATGAATATATATTAACAATAAGTGTGATCATAGTAATCTGCTTGAAACGTATACTGTATAAAAACAAGGAGATGTGGTATGCTTGCGATTGAGAACTATCCACTAGATTTCAAATAACGTAGATGTTAGCAACTATATGTCACTGTACGGACTTCATGAAAGAGTCAAACCCATGCCGTATAGTCAGATATAAAAGGCCCGACATAATGAAATACTTTATACAAGAAGGCCAAATTGAATAGCTAGATCAAGTATAACTGAAATGCAAACAAATAATTTCATGCGGAAATGAAATAAAAGAATATTATATCGGGACATCCTTTTAGCAACATTCAGTGCCTATAAAACGGTAAGAACTGCATCAAATGTATTTGAAAATTACATAAACAAATTCTTGGGTTCAACATATTTTAACCTCATTTAACATAGTTATATGGGAAACCAGCGAAGGTAAATCGGTTTTACAGGGATTTTTGTCGAGCCTACGAAATTTTGTCACTAAAGCCAGACATTACGATCCTAAATTCCGTCGTCAGCGTCAACATGAAGGTTCAGTTTGAAGTAAATTTTTTTCAAACCTTCTGGGAATTAATAAATGAAACTCGAACATAAGTATTTTTTTAACTCAAAAGACAGTATCCAGTGTAAAATACAATTTTAAATAGTGAGTAAGATGATGATGTTTAAATACACAAATGATTTCCTTAATAGATATGGTATGCTTAATAAATAAGAAGATGTGGTATGAGTGCCAATGAGGCAACTCTCCATCCAAGTCACAATGTATAAAAAGTTAACAATTATAGGTCAAAGTACGGCCTTCAACACGGAGCCTTGGCTCACACCGAACAGTAAGCTATAAAGGGCCCCAAAATGACTAGTGTAAAACTTTTGTTTGTCTAAATATTTTTGTTTGAATTTTTAGCATTCTGTTCTCATTTTTTCGTTGTCTGCTCTTTCCAATAGATATCTGTTTCACTTTACAAGGTTCCACCTACAAGCAGCGACTGGTTAAGACTGTGTCAGTGTCTCATAACCCTGGTATATGAGATCATCTATTGGTGAGATTTTAGTGGTTTGTGAGGAACATAGTCGAGTGTGTTGTAGAGACGGATGGGAAATGTGACAATTTGCTTCACGCTACAATAATGTGTCATGACAAAATCATTTGTTGATAGCAAAGCAAAATATAAATGACACTGACGGACTACCAGATGTATCGTGCTTTATCGTTGTGGTTTAATTCAGGATTCCCGTCGTTTTCTTTTTTTTAAATGGTGTCGTTCACTTCAGAATCAATTTGGTAATATGTGAAACAGACTTAATCGGATGTGACGCATCCTGTATTGGACTGGTATACAATACATTTTTCTCTGTAATACACACTGGCCGTATTTAATATCAACATAACATTGTCATCAGTACTACACATGACGATTAAATTGTGTTTAACAGTTAATAATAATATTGTCGATAATAAGTCAATGAATACTTTATTCTAAGAGATTAGGGCATGCAGTTAGCAATGATCTTCACTATAGCCTTCACACAACAACATTAACATACCCGGGTTATAAACAAATCTACAGCATATACACATTTCGATATACCATATTATGATCTTTAAAAAAAAGTATCAACATTTTAACACACTCGTTGGGTTATTTCGGACGCACGAAATCTATTGTGTTAGTTTCATTTGGTAGAGAATTCCAATATATGATTCCTGTATGATGGAGACTTTAATTCATAAATATGAAATGAGTGCTGTGACATATAAATCATGTCCATTATTTGAAGCCTGTGAGAATATCTTATTAAATAAGCAAATTATGTAGAAAAATTGTTTGAAGCAAACCATCTATGCTTGCAACGACTAGTTATATATGGTCCCTAAAGAATACCATTAGTCTTATGACCCATAAATATATGCGATATATTTAATATCCCATTCTAAAGAATAAGCCTTGTTAACAGCAATGAAAAATGTACTAAAACTAATAGAACTAATCCCTTCACTCAAGGGAGATTACTCAAGGGAGATTATGTTCCTTACCGCATAATGCTACTTTTGTAGGTCCAGAATTACAATCCATAGCAATGTATTCGTTCAACTGGCACCTAGCAGTCAAGCATTCCACATACGACGATGTTCCTATGGAGGTGTCATAGACTACACGGATGTTATGATTGGTTATATCTATAAAAGAGGCATAAACAGTAATAGCAGAAAATAGCTTGATACTTGACATTCTTTTGTAATCTTTGTGTTTCTTTAAGCGACAAAATTATGAATGTATTTGCGCTTGGATATCATTTCATGGAGTAACAAGCTAACGTTCTTCCAGCGGTTGTTAGATATAGTTCCTGACTGATTTTTCTTTCTGTTTTCTCAATACATTTATATAACAAATGCACTTTATCTAGTTAATCCAATAATGCAATTTATATAGATTTGAGGTCAAATACGTGTCATTTACAATTATGAAAACCGATATGCATGTTTATATTCGAACTTTGCCGCTGACAATTTAATAAATTTTGGCTTTCATACGCATCGCCATGGGTTTTCTAGAGCCCGCGAAATGAAAACATAACAGTTTTGATAGAAAAAATCCATGTAAGAATACGTACATTTGTTATGTAATAAATGTGATAAGTCACTTTTTTGAAAATATAATACGAAAAGATTGCTGGATCTAGTTTCTTACATTTCCTTTTTGCTATGTATGAATTTGGGTAAAGTAAAAACTTATTTTACCTGATGCAATGTTATACACAGAAACATAACTTTGGCTGGTTGAACCACCTCCACCACAAAGACCAATATCGTCACATTCGTCTGTACATTCACTTTGAATCTGAACAGAGATCTTCTGATATGATTCTAAGCACACACAATAACCTAGCTGTAATATTTTAAAAAGTACATTAACGAACATTCCTATATACAACAAAACTTGATCAAACACATCGGAAGAAATATTTCTGTCACATTTTTTTCTTGATTTGTAATGCACTTCTCATAAATAAAATCTATCGTTATGTTTTGTGTTCTAAAGCTTATACTGGCCTTAAGATTTGATATAAAAAAATATCCCTTCACTGAAGGATGTCAGTCATTATAATTGAACATATCATGCAGCCTTTTATTTGTGAAAATTTCACCCTTTCTGCTACTGTTATATCTACCTTATGCCAAACGGGACATTTTTTTTCTTTTCTTATTGTTAAATTTTCCTTTCCTTGGTGGTAATGTTCCGTTGGCTCCTTCTTATCATTTCTCAGTTGTTTCGATATATATGTATGTTTTTGCAGTCACCGTCTCAGATTAAATTGAACGTAATAAGTTCATCACTTTTAAAAAGGTTTTTACATCAGAAAATTAGATATGATTTTGGTAAACTTTTACTTTTTATCAGAAATATACAGATGTATTGTGAAAATATGATATTTGTCTGGTTTTTTGGAAGTAAGACTTAAATTGTTTCGTTTGTTTTTCTATACTAATCAGGTGCAGTTAGTTCTGTGTATTGCTCACGACCGTGCTTTCAGTTGTTTTTATGACTTAGCTATCATCTTTATAAAAATAAAGTATGACATTGTTTCATATCAACATGTTAAAAAAACTTTTAACTCGCTTGTGTAATTGCGAAAATTATTTGACACAGTATAACATTGTTTAGTATTGCTTTGTTTCTTCTTGAGTTTTTTTGTGTCGTTATTTAGAGTTAAGAACTTTTCTTTTACTCGTATTATTGAAAGGAAGAGGATTGAAATCAATAAAATAAAACTATTTCAATCCAATAATATACTAATTTGCCTGTCCCAAGTCAAGAACCTCTTCAGTGGTATCATAATGTATTTCGTCATTTTGGGGGAATTTGCCATTGTTCATTGTGAGATGTGTGGTATATACGTCAATGAGACAGTAACCCAACTAAACAAAACAAGATTTCTAGAGGTCACACACACACACACACACACACACCTTTTACCATTAGACAGAACTGGTGTCTATGCAATATGTCATGATCGAACTCCCCCTATGTCTGGAAAAGTGGTAAATAAATTTAAGAGAGGCTATCAAAGATCTGCCATTAATTTTGTCTTGGTGTTATTGACACATTTTATACTACAAGAAAAAAAATGAAACCACAAAAAAAAAATTTCCAAGTTTTCTATACAGGTACGTGAGAACATAAGACGGACTTAACTTGTTTTTTTTTTACATTAAACCATTCTTTTTTAATTTCAACTTAGTAAAATAGAAAACGTACAATAAAACTCAGTACAGAGAAATAGACTCGATAATACAGGTATAATAGACGATGAAAGCTTGTGTGGTATAATAGACAATGAAAGCTTGGGTACAAGGAAAACAATACTTATTCATACCAAATCAAGGAATGATTGTAGTTACTGAAAGCAAGCTCAAAGTACTTTAAAACATGATTACATTGAAATTGAGTGTCCTACACTCTAATATTAGCTGCTGTACTTTGGAGTATATGTCATACATAAATGCATAGGCTGATCCAGGGGGGGGCCTGGAGAACTTTAATTATTCTTATTTCCGATCATAAAAGCTATCAATATCATTCCAAAAAATACCTGACATAACGATTTAATATACCAACACAGTGGCTAAACCAGGGGCAGGGGGTGGTTCCGGGGGTTGGAACCCCCCTTTTTTTGACGATCAATGCTTTTATGCTTTTGAATGGGGACATATGGTTGGAACCCCTCCTTTATCCTGGGTTGGACCCCCCTTTTAAAAATTGCTGGATCCGCCCCTCCAACAGTATTATTATAATCTTCATCAAAAAGTAAAAAAAGTAAATAAAACAGCTAATGGAAGATAGTTTCTAACTTTTAAGCTTTATCTGTGATGTAACCTTTAAATAAGCCTATGTTTATGAGAGAACAATTTTTTAAAAGTGTTTTAACCATTTTTCTTATAACTGCATCAAAGATGAAATCAATTTGCCATTTATCAAAGGAACAGTGCTTTAGCTGATGTTCTCTTAAAATCGAGTTGTTCAAAGGCCTTCAAGTTGGAATAACAGTCCAATTCAATAACACTTGAAAATAAAGAGAAAGAGAATTCAAGTTTTTTTATTGTTTCATATTGTGTGGATTTACATACCTGAATTGCAAAGACTGGATATTCAAAACAATGTTGATAACAATCCGATATTTTATTTGTGATTTTTGGTGTTTGGCTGTTATCGTATATTGAAGACTTTCGTACACAATCTAAAAGTTAAAATTATAAAACAAATATTTTACATGTATATTCTAAACTATGACATTAACCAAGCAATGTCGTTTCATAGTCGGCTTCTGGTCAGATTTATATTTATAAACGGAGTCAATAGAAATGCAACGAGTTATATCCTAAGCCCTTCTCTGACCCTTTTAAGAATAACAATACAAAATAGTTCTACACGTAACTTGAACAGTATGGCGTGGCATCGAATGAAATCAGTTCCAAAAATTGCGATATGTTTTACAGTTGTTAAAAGCAAAGGTAACAAATTTTCTTCAACATATGGTCGCTGTGTACAAAATGAAAATGATGTTTGTTAAACTGTGCCACTTTCTGGAAAACTTTATCATTTGGGGTTCATTGTTGTTACAATCTGCCAATTTCTTGTTGCTATATTGAAGTTGTGAACGTTGCAGGATCTCAAATTCAGAAAGCTCTGAAAATGCTAAAGATGTTCTGCGTGCACATTTGTAGAAATCAGCAAAATATCTACAAACAAAAGATTCTTAAGAACACATAAGGCCGAACTAACCGCCAAAACGAAGCACTGAGGAAAGGGTAAACTATGCAGATGTAAGTAAACAATTATAGTTTACATTTCCAAAAAATATATTTATCAAGAAATATAACTGTTAAAAAGTACGAGGAAAGGTTTTTCACTTAGGGGTTGCATTTATGTTTGCACTCAGTATATTTCAAAATTAATATATCTAAAATAGAGTTACATTTTGTTGGTCACAGAAGTATTTCATATGCACAATGTTTTGACACGGTAAAGTGGTTAATTTTATTGGATTTTACATCGCGATGACCGTGAGGGCATTCCGATGTATTGTTGCCAGAGAGATTTCCATTACGTAACTTTCGTATTTGACTGGTAACTGATCATCATCGAGTGCAAAATAACATTCCGTATCGCTTGTTATAAATTCATTATCCAATGAATACTCATAAAATATTTTTTTTAGAACATAAATTAATAATATGAAAATGTTTTGTTATATATATATATATATAAGTAAAAAATCATTAATATATATGCACACGTACAGAAAAAAAATGCGGAAGAATATCTCAAGAACGTTTGCAATCTCCCATGCAGAGTTATCGGTCCTTGCTCTCTCTCTCTCAAGGACCGATAACTCTCCCTCTCTCTCAAGGACCGATAACTCTGCATGGGGGATTGAACGTTTTGCGGGAAAAATTATTACAGAAGAGTGTACACCATGCACTTGCACTGCACTATTATTAATATAGTAGAATAGAATGATATACAAATGGATGAAAATTATATATACATGTAACTGTAATATACAAATATCAATATAATATATAACAACAAACCAGAGTATATACTGATCTGATCACTACAATATAATAGTTATTACGGTGAGGTTGAATTCCCTGTCATTTATTTATCATCCACGCACGAACTTGTCTCGGATTTTTATATCTCTACATTAACCTCACTTTCAGGTATAGAGATGTAATTTTTTTTTCTGAGACAAGTGCTTGTGACCATCCACAAGAACTTGCGGTCATCCGGTGTTCAGTACTTCAGTACTTTGATTTTATAATGTCTTGTCCTAGTTAAATGATTTTGCGCGTAATATAACGAGGACATCTCTCATCAGATTTTTAAGGACATGTTAGTTACACGAACAAGTACGGTTATATGAAATGATAAACATATTAAATGTATCTTACTGTGACCATAATTTAATCAAATCAAATGTAAACGTACGCCATTTTTGATGATAAACTACAGAATAAAACGCAGTTGCATAGAGGTTTCAATAACTGAGTCGCTTAACTCACAAACTTAATAAGAAGGACCTTTATGTAAAGTTTTGATTCAGCTACACAGTTTGAACACCAATAACCTCTTGAAAAAATCTGTGTAATCCTAATTCTCAACCTAAATCATTTTTTATTTTATGTTTTTAATTTCAAGTTTCATGGAACCACAGAATTACATTCATGTGTATCGCGCATAAATATATCACTGTGAAATCGACATAGACATAAAAGTCTTTTATAGCTATAAGGTATCGGTTTTGCTCATTGTTGAAGGTTGTACACTGACATATAGTTGTTAACATCATCTTGCTGTGCTCTCTAGTGGATAGCTGTCTCATTGGCAATCATATCACACCTCCTCATTTTTATATAGTGTTTACATAGGTTATGAAACTAGTTTATGTCCTATATGAAGATAAGAAGCTGCGGTATGACAACTCCCCACCCAGAGACAAAAAGACGTTGAAGTTAGCAACTATAGGTCACCGTACGGCCTTCAACAATAAGCAAAACTCATATTATATAAAGCAAGCTATAAAAGGCTTCGAAATGACAAATGTAAAACAATTCACACGAGAAAATTCATGACCTGATTTATGTTCAAAAAAATAAACGAAAAACAAATATGATACATATACAGCAACAAACGACAACCACTAAATTACAGGATCCTGAACTGGAACAGGCACATGCAGAATGTGCCCACTGGCGACGTTAAACATGTTTATTGAAGATTTGGTTGTAGTTATAAAAAATAATTCTTATAATTTCAGATATGCAAAAACTGCAGAGGTACCCCGACCCCGAACTAAATTGTACGGGTAGAAATCATTCAGGTTTGAGGTAGAACGAGTGTGGTTCTCACTTCCAAATGAGGCACGAGACATGACCTCATTTGACCAGTTTAATAATATAAATAGTCTTGAGGAAAAAAGTAATTGTAATTCGTGCAAATTCCATTCAGTGCTGCCGCATATAAATAGTTGATTATATTTTCTTGCTTACCTCATTTTTGGTTTCTGATGGCTTAATTTATATGCTATGCTATTTATTTTTCTTATGATATTATTTGTGCTCTTTTGTCTTTGCTTTTTTATACTGCATACTTTTATGCTGTTGATGGTAAAGTGTATGTATGCTGATGTTTAATATAGTCGGTTGTAAGAGCTTCTTGCGCTCATGTTACGTTTTGTTTTGTATATATGTGCCGACTTTAAATAAAACTTACGTACTTTTAAGTAAATGTAACTAAAACGTACGAAATTTGTTGCGCTTTGTGCGAATTTCTGAGTTTATATATAAGTCGGGAACAATTTGATGCAGAGTACTGAGTTTATCTTGGTTACAAAAGCTTGATTGCAGAGTGCGAAGTTTATCTTGGTTACAAGAACTTGATTGCAGAGTTCGGAGTTTATCTTAATCAATAAAGCTCCATGATAAAGTTATGTTGTTATCTTGATCTGTAACGCTCGACTTTATCTTGGTTGGGAACGCTCGAGGTTATCTTGATTTGTAACGCTCGAGTGTACCTTAGTCGGGAACGCTCGAGTTTATCTTGGTCGGGAACGCTCGAGTTTATATATTTGTCGGGAACGCCCGAGTATATCTTGATCTGTAACGCTCGACTTTATCATGGTTGGGAACGCTCGAGGTTATCTTGATTTGTAACGCTCGAGTGTACCTTAGTCGGGAACGCTCGAGTTTATCTTGGTCGGGAACGCTCGAGTTTATATATTTGTCGGGAAAGCCCGAGAATATCTTGATCTGTAACGCTTGAGTTTATCTTGATGTGTAACGCTCGAGTTTATCATGTTTAGGAACGATCGAGTTTATCTTGGTCGGGAACGATCGAGTTTATCTTGGTCGTGAACGATCGAGTTTATCTTGGTCAGGAACGCTCTAGTTTTTCTTGGATAGGAACGCTCGAGTTCAGAGTTAACACTAAGGGAAGGTAAAATTGTATAAATGCATATAAGAATCTATAACTGTGGAACATAAAAACTAGAAATTGCTTATAATTATGGATTCCTATATGATAAGAGTCTATCAAAATTGATAAATCATGTTAACATACCTAAAGGATAGATCCAGTCAGTATACAAAATATCGCCAACCCAGAACTCCTGGCCCACAGGAATGTCACTGGTATCAGAAATGAGGTTAAATGTTGAATCTTGTTTAAACACAGGAACACCACCTTCATTCCGACATTCCTGGGCTATCTCTTGAAATGTTATCTCATATGTAAAGTATTCTATGGTCGAGGTTGCTGTAAGTAAATATTTTCTTAATATATATATTTATATAAGGTCCATAAAATATTACAATTTAACGACCATTCTTACGAAGGCATGATTCATTATAAAAAAACATTACAATACTCTCAAAATAATGAAACTAGTGTCTTAAAACTGTACAACACCAAAAGTAAAAAAAAGGAGAAATCATCAATACAATATTCGATAAATATTTCGGATATACCCTCGAGTGCGGGAGGTTGCGAGTTCAAACCCCGGTGGCATCAAACCAAACACTTGAATATACGTCTTTGCTGCTTGTCCGCTAGGCATGTGCCTTTTAGGAGTAAGAGTAATGACTAGTCGACTCGGCGTCAGAATAATGTGTCTTGTTAAAAGCACGTTACGAATCAGATTCAGCTTGTAGGTTCAATACAAATCAGGGTTAATATTCTGATCATATCACATTATCATGTTCTCGTCATGAATATGCATTTCATTTGCTAATGAAGTTTAACAGTCATTCTTTGTCGCTATTATTATTTTTTTTTGATGTCTGCGAGCAAAATAGTAAACTGTCATATCAAGATCTAAGTGTAAATATATAATACACACGCATCAGTGCTAAGCCATTTAGTCATTTCTCGTCTACTGTTGCAAGTTAACACATTTTCAGGAACATGAGTTCACTATTTAAAACCTTGCATTCAGAACTGGTTACTATCGTGCAGGCAACTTAAGAATGACAACGATGCATTTGGATGGTCAAACTAGATGCATTTCTTAATGCTTTCAGTTGCTGACCTCTGGCAGTGTTTATTTTGCATATTTTATGCATTTATGAGATCATGACATTGTTAAGAAAAAAGATGAAGTCTTGCTTTTAAAATTAAAGTAGAACTATTCAAAACTCATCAAAGAATAAAAAAAGGTATAATCTCCGAATTTTTTAGGAAAAGGGCAACCTAAGCATACTGTTTACACTAGCAAGGGTCACATGAGAATTATAGTCACTTAAACTTCTCCAGTCTTGTATTGGGGAAAAGTGTTTTTTTAATACACAATCACGTCTGCTTGAAATGCGAACATTCATTGAATGCATGCAAAACCAGTCTTCAGACAGTGGAAAACAATTCAACATTTTTTCTGTTGTCCCTTTCGACCAACAAAACCTACCTAATTGATTAAATGTTAAATTCTAGTATGTAATTTGTTAACGTCTTAAATGTGACTAGAATGTTTGACACTTGACTTGGAAAAGCAATTGGTAGTAGTCTACATACGAAATCTGTATGATTTATTCGCCAGTCATCAGATCTTGGATTCATCAGGGTAAACAGTACGTCAGTACTTTGATTCTTTATACACAATCATTGATTTGTTGGTAAATTGTATATAGTGTCCCGCGAAAATATTTCTTTATAATAATATTTTTTTGTTAATTGTTTAAAAGAGTAGATTTTAATTTAGATTTTGTGACAATATTCATAAGATACTAAAACGTTAATTTATATGGTAACTATTTTCAGAACAAAATATAATATGTGTTTCGTCTGTCTGTATAGTGAATAAAGCATAATTACTCACTTTATGTATAATTAAGTATATCATAGTGTATTAAAAATTAACGCTACTTCCTTCTGAATAGTGAATACAAATTGGTTGTATATACGTGTCCGTGGAAAATTTCGACGATCAGTTTACTATATATCTGACCTCTAGTATTAAACATCAACTGACTTTTCAACTGTGGTTAACATAAACAAGATCTTATATTAAAAGACAATTTATATAACTATCATGCATGGATAAAAGTGTGCGAGAAACAATCTCTGTATAAAATATTCATATCATTTATTTTCTATTTTTTGGACAAATATATTCCTTGGGTCCCTTCTTACGGTGTGGTGAACATAGCCCCCAACCCGTTCGCTATGCCCGTTCGCTATGCCCGCGTCCGTTGCTTTGAGTGCTTGGACATCCGTTTGTTTTTCATTTTTTTATGGTGTTCAGATTTTTTAAGTAAATATTCTTTAAATATTTATTTCACTTCAATCTGTTCCTGTTCTTATTCGCATGATATTACAATAACAGGGGTCCCACGACTTAATTACAGAAAAGAGCGACGACTTACAGAAAAGAACAGAAAAGGACCGAAAAGGACCAAAAAGAACCGAAAAGAAAATTGATTTTTTTTTTTGTAATCGAAGGAGACTAGCAAATTGCAAATCATTACAGTCTAAAAATGAAAAGATAGTTTCCACAAAAGTTTCTTATTAGGTATTGAAACCTTATACTGCGACAGGACTAACTTACATGTGAAAAATTACAGGTAGGGTCAGATGCCTATGTCATACACTACAGGTAGGGGCTATTCAAATGAATTTTGAAAAAGCTCATGCATTGATTTATGTGTGGTATTTATTTAAAAATTTAACGATATCGACTACATCTTTCATCCGCTTTCTCTTCCCTTTCCCAATCTGGTAGATTTTGGCCTCTCCAATCTGTAGATTTAATCAATTTTTCAATCTCCGTGTGCATTTCCTCAATTTTTCATTCTCCTAAGATCTCTTGTTTAATTTCTATTTTTACTTCGTGCGTTTTACTATCTGACACTCTTTCTCATTCAACTTATCAATATATAGACGAACTATTTACATATATATATTAATACATATAATTACATTGATTTACACACAGTTTGGTTTTTTTAGTTAATAATGAACTTAAGAAGAAATTTTATGACAACATTAAATGGCAAAAAAACTAAGTTCTCCTAAGGTCCTTGTAAAACAATATCATTTAGGATACAGTCAAATCTTAATGAAGTACTTATTTATATAAATTCTTATAATAGTTTATATGACCTCGCATTGATTTCTTTAACAATAAAGTTAGTTAACAGTATGTATTCGCAATATACAAGTATTCTTTGTTGTTTTACTTTACGCGTTGCGGTTTTACAGTATTTGTCCTATCAGCAAGTTTCCTTTTCCTCTGAATTTTCTTCTTTCATCTGGCCCTAGCTTCGTTGACCACTCGTCTGACATCTGTTGACTGAACCAATTTGGTCTTACTGCGGTATCGGTGGAACCTGGCAAAATATTTGTATCGTTCCATTAAAGTCTTGTTTGTCCATACATATCTGGCAATCTTAAAATCGGTTCGTGTGTCCTCGCAAGCGTATAAGGTCCTCTTCCTATGACCATTGCTCCCCGCAGATCTTTATAGTTAGCCTCAACCAATTCTGCCATCTTCAATATGAAGTCAACTAATGACTGAGGCTTCCAATCGACAGCTACCTTAAGAACATGGTTGTAAGATTCACTGTTGTTGTTAGTCCACTCTCTTGCAATTCTTCCCGCATTTTGCGGCTCACATATTTTTCCTCTGAGTACTGGCTTCAAAACTGTTGAAAAGTAGCCTTTTAATGATGGATATTTATTAAGAAATTGAAACTAATTAAGAACATCATAAAGTTTGGCAGTGTTTAGCAGGAATTGAAATTTTCGTCCAATATTTTTTATAGTTTTACTTTCTCAAAATATGAAGGATTCGGTGCGGACTTCTAAATTGGAAATGACACTGTGAAAAAAAAAATTCAAAAATATTTAAACGCCTCAATTTGATACAGGGAAATCCAGTCTTATAATGGAAAATCAACTGATGACATCGCGTAGTCTCAAGCCCGATTATAATTACTATGTCACCTTCTTCGGACCTTAGTTTACTATTTAAATATTTACCTTAACAAGGACTGTTGGCAGTCAAAATTTTCCTGATCAAAACAGCACAATTTGCAGTAAAATTTTAGTCCTCTCGTTGCCCATTGTTTTGTTAATTCTGATGACATCCCTTTGCCGACACAGCCACTGTGCATCCATTTTCCACAACCAGTGGCGGATCCTCCAGAACTTTTTATAAGGGTGGGGGGCACTGAATGCCATAAGAGGGGCCCGCTACAGTCATGCTTCAGTGATTTCCTATATCATCAACCAAATTTACCCACAAAAGGGGGGAGGCGGATCCGCCTATGACAACCAAAGCAGAGGACGGAATCTGTACATTCACAATCCTTACTAAAGATACAATAGTGGGTACTGTTTTCGATATCGAGATTTACAATTACGTGCTTTCACCATTTTTGTAATTTTGAAAACAAGTGAGAAAACAAGCCTTTCTATTAATCTTAAGGTGTCGATTATCATAATTAAATCACATGTCACCGTGGCACCTTAACAAATGTATTTGACATTTAACATCCGAGAGGAAATAGTGATGCTGACATGTATATTTTTCATATTACCATACCCAATGCCACCGGGCAATATGCTGACATCTTTATATCTTTAAATGTTAGGATAAACATTAAAATCCTTGATAATAAAAAAAATGATAATTTATCATACATATATAATTTTTTTTTCTAAAACCAAGTTATACTGTCTCTTTTATGGGTGTCCACATATCCCTATAAAATGTACAATCTAAGTTTGAATTAAGCGTTCATTTATTACGAGGAATTGTTAACAATATCAAAATTTCGTCACGTGTTACAGTGAATTTGTATAATCAGTGATTATGTAGAATCCCTAAAATGTTCAGGGATTATGTAGAATCACTGGTTAGTTTAGGGATTATATATAATCACTAAAATTTTCAGGGATTATGTATAATCACTAGAAAAAATGTCAGGGATTATACAGAATAACTGAAATGAAGAATTAGTTTCATTTATATAGAAAATGGATAAAAGTTAAATAATTCATTCTTAAAATCATATTAAAACATCATTATAAACATATAGATTGTAAAATGTAAAGCACAATATGTTAAAATGATAACCTTGAATACATTAAAATGTTATGCACAACATATCAAAATGTTAGGAACAATATACTAAATTATTAAGCATATAATATTAAAATATTAAGCACAATATTTTAAAAAACAAACATTACATTCACTCTGTGGTTAAAGTTTAAAAAAAAATAATAACTTTCTTAAACTATCCTGGATTTGTACCAAACTTGGACAGAAACTTGTTTATGATCAAAAGCTAGTATCTAGAAAGAAATTTAAAAACAAATTATTTCCTGTTTATCCGTACATTACTTATAAATGGACTTAGTTTTTTTTCCAGCTAACATTACATTCAGTCTGCAGTTAAAGTTTTTAAAACATTTTTAGATACATAAACCGTTTCAGTAACTGTTAAATAAATCTATCATGTGCATTTTCCTATCACACTGAAAACATAGACAACAGCAAAAGTAGGCGAGACACTGGGTTCCGCGGAACCCTTACGAATTTTTCTATACATTTAGTTGCGTCAGTTCTCTCAGTTTGAATTTCTTGTTCATTTGAACACAAAATACACTAAGAGGTTTCATAAGGGAGCTACCATTTGATTTTTATGGGGGGGGGGGGGGGGGGGGGGGGGGGTAGGATGAAATTTGAAAAAAATAGGCAGGACAGGAGTTTTGGTTAAAAAAAAATGCAGGATGAGACACTTTGCAAAAAAAAAAAAGGCAGGATGAGACACTTTGCAAAAAAAAAAAAGGCAGGATGAGACACTTTGCAAAAAAAAAAAAGGCAGGATAAACTAATAAAAAAAAGGCAGGACCGAATAGAGTAAAAAATAAAAAGGCAGGACTATATAGATGGAAAAATAAATAGGCAGGACACAATTTTTCATCCTAGCCCCCCCATGAAAATCAAATGGTAGCTCCCTAACCTTCCTCGCCATTTGTTTTACTACAAATAAAATGCACTGTGGATTTACAGTTTGAACATTTTTTGTCATATAAATGATCTTGATAAACCATGATGAACTTGAAATTAAATAGATTGCATATCATCGTCAGATATTTAAGTTTTGTTATTTTTTTAGATCCATGCCCACCAGCCCCAATCTTATGTTAATGTATAAGGATGTAAAGAGTGTAATCTATATGAAATATAAGAGATGGTAGGAGGCTTTAAACAATTTAAATACTTACTGTTCACTTAAACTTTCAAGGAATAAGAAAACACAAACGACAAATTATCTTTATTTAATTTTTATCAAACACAGGATCTTTGAATTATTGATAATCCCTGAAATCATATTAGGGAATTTGTAGAATAATTATATAAATGTTCAGTGATTATGTAAAATCACTGGTCATTTTCAGGGATTATATATAATCACTAATGATTTTGGTGATTCTACATAATCCCTGAAAAATCAGGGATTCTACATAATCCCTGATTATACAAATTCACTGTAACATATATACATTGTATATAAAATAAATATATGTATGCTCTTTTCGGTTCTTTTTGGTCCTTTTATGTTCTTTTCTGTTCTTTTCTGTAATCGTTGGACCGCAATAACAGTAGTTTCTACTATGCTGTCCCTCTATATTCTTATTTTCCACCGATCCTGTACTGTTACCTTTAGTAGTGAACATCCTCGTTCTTTTGTCACTGGTTGATCGTTGTCTCATTGACCATCATACCACATATCCTTATTTTCATAGATTCATATCTCTAATTTAGGTATCATGATGATAATGACAATGCTATACATCCCACTTTTCGTTGATCATATTTTTTAAACTTTAATTAACATCAAAGAAAATCTTATAAGTTTGTATCAACACCAATTTCCGTTAAGCTAGGTTCACACTACCGATCAGATCATCTCGATGATTCCGATTGCTCAAATGTCCACGACTAAGCGTAACCAAATTCTTGATCACGACTTCAACCCGACCACTAATTGAATATCTATTTGATGATCCCGACCAAATCACTCGCGATCTCTAAACGATCTTTACTCGACTAGCTAGACTAAATCAACTATACTTGATCTCGACCATACCAGATCGACCTGATCGTATAGGGGTCGTAGGGATAGACGGCAATTGGTCGGGTATGTACAATTTCAGTATAAAAACGTCTGATTTTTATCCCCCCCCCCCCCACACCCCCGCAGCGGAGGAGACATGCAGTGTTACCTTTGTCCATACGTACGTACATCCCGAAACTTTCCGTTCTCTAACTTTAGTTCACCTCAACCAAATGTTATGAAGCGTATACATAATGCTTATTACTACAAAACACAGATCAAGTTTGAATTTGGGTGGCGTCACTTTTACCGTTCTAAAGTTATGCACCTTTACAAATGGAAAAATGGCTGAATTTTTCGTTTCCGGTTTCTAACTTAAGCTTGCCTCAACCAAATGTTATGAAACTTATACACATGCTTATTACCACAAAACTCAGATCAAGTTTGAATTTGGCTGTCGTCACTTTTACCGTTCTTGAGTTATGTCCCTTTATACGTTATATACAAGCGGGGCATCATCTGTGTCCCATGGGACACATTATCCATTTATTGTGGTTATCATTCAGTAGATCAATTTTTCATTTTTTTTTCAAAACAGTTTTTAATCATGGTATTCCCTTTTTCGTCTCTACCGGTACTGATGAAATACAAAAATGAAGGAATTCTATTGATTTAATGTAACAACGGTTTATTGTTATTAATTTGCGACAAAAAAAAACCAAAGAAAGTTATCAATAACTTGTGATAAAAGTCTAGCATTTGAATACATTTTGTATAAGTACACATTGTTTATTTTTACTTTGCAGACTTTCCCGTGCAAGGCAAGTGGTGTAAAACGCATTTGGTATCCTTGCCATGCGGTTTTAAGGTCTGCTTGGCTACTTGAATCAGTTCTCCAGAGACCATTGATTCCATTATTCTTGCATGTGTGACGGGATTGCTTCCCTTCAGAAATTTAGTAGATACTTAGTCAGCCCGTAAGCGGTTGAGCTAAGGAAGTACTTCTTTAGCTCAGTCGGTTAACGAGCTGCCTTGTAACACAGAGGTTCCGGGTTCGAGTCCCGTGGAGACATGCGATTTTGCAAGTAGAATCATGAAATGACACCACCAAATGAGATCTGCTTACCCTTCCGGAGCACCTGAGATCACCCCAGCAAGTTATGAGAGTTTATCAGATCTGTACACCCTTTTATAGAATCTTGAAGCAGTCGTGTGAACTCGTGTATGACCAAGTAGAGATCGAAAAGTGATCGAATTTGGTCGAGCAGAGATCGGGTTATTGGTTGAGTTGGTCTGGGATAAAAAAAAAAAACAATACTAGTCGCAGTGATCGGGGAGCGAGCGGCCATTGGTCGAGTAAATCTGAACCACAGATGAAACAGGATGGCGTTGGTTGGGAAGAGATTGGATATTAGTCGAGAAAAAGGTCGAGATGATCGAGTACTGATCGGTTTTTAAATCTTTGTATTCCGACCAAACTCAATCTAAACACGATCTTTTCCCGATCAATTCGACCGCTACTCGACGATTTCCCGATCTCTTCTCGAGTGATTGGCTTCTTGGTCCCTACTTGAACTTTTTTGACATGTCATAAAAATGTCGGGTAGAAAGTCAGAGCGATGACGAGCAAGGTAGACCAACCCGAAAATGCTTGTCGAACGAGTCAGTCCAGTCTCCAATCGCTTAATCTGTCTCATCGGGCTTGATCGAGTTGATCTGATCGACAGTGTGAACCTAGTTTTTGAGGACAAATACATTAAGATTTTACTATAAACAACAACTGCCACGAGGTTACGGACTTGAGGCGGACAAATGACTACACATGTGCCGGGTGTCAAGCACTCAACCTTCACCATTTTAATCTCAATTATTGGATTAAGAAAAAACATCCAATGAAAGTTAAGATATGTGTTAATAAAAGAAAAAACGCACATAGCACTATACTATTGATGAGATAGACATCAAAGACACATGCATGTGCAAGGAAAAATAATAAAATCATTTTGTATCGAGGAAGGTTTGAAGTAACTATAGTAGCAAAGTCCATGTTTTTAACTGCTGAAATGAAACAATACCGTCCTCCACTCGTGATATCAACGACTGGACTTCCGAGTTGATCAAAATCCTACTGCGACGCCCTGAACAGTGAAGGGAACACAATCTTATGCACACCAAAGTTAATTTTATAGAGTATACAAAAAATTATTTTTTTCCTTTAGAAACGATATTACCATGTGTAATACCCCTTTTTAAAAATATTCATTCAAGACTTAAAAGGAAACGCGAGAGTAGACATATCGAAAAAACCTTAAGACTATACAATATCTGTAAAACAAACAACAAATCTATTGACAATGTCAGTCTAGATGTTACCATGGTGAGAAGAGAGAGAGAGATAGTTTGTTGTCTTTTTTATTCGATTGTACTTAGTTTTTTACCTTTATAAAAATATACTTCATCTTAAATATTTCAATTTACTTACAATTTGTGTAAAATAACATGATTGCGCTGTATAATAATCTAATTAAATGCATGTTCCTATGTAATCCGCTACTTTTATCGACCAAAATCCTGTTTTGCCATATTAATGTCCACTATTTTGACCTTTTAATTCTATTGACGTATCAAATAAAAGAAAAAGTAGTCATGGTTTACTGATCATCGCACTATATTTAAATTGAAGGAAAATATTATTAAAAGAAACACACCCGGTTCAATTATCAGGTTCATATAATTCAACACTGAACTTTCAAATCGACGGAGCATACGAATTCTTTTATCGCAAATAACATGAAATTGCAGTGTTAGGTATACTATTGGTCTCTGGTATTGGTTACACATTGCCGGGACATTCATTACAACCCGATATGCTATCCATAACATTAACCTGATTAACTTTAAACATATTTTATTTGCTAAAAAAAGATGAGACACCTGTAAATCATACTTATGAAGTTTTCTCCATAATAACAGGCAATTCAGCGTTGAATTTTATTTAAAATTGTCAGTCATTATAAATTGCCTGAAATTCAAACATTTTATAAAAAATAACTGTAACACACATATATATATATATACTTTTCCGCAAGTTTATTGTTTTCTGTTTAGTATTAAATTTATAATTAAGATCCATTTATTACATCGGTGATCCGTTTATTTGGCAATCGCCAATGGCAGTCAGCAGGGTTTAAGAACATTTGTTGTTCGACCTGTTAGTCAAATGCGTTTTGTTAAAATATACTTTTTCACTTTTTGGTCTTTTGGAAAATGTTGTTTGTGCTGTATTTAGACCCCTCTAACAAGAAATTTGTTTTGCATGCACACGTATAAAAATTGCGGTTTTTATCCAACGCAATCATAGGTTTGAACGTTGTTTTCAATTTAGACTTGTTATATATATATATATATATATATATATGTGTGTGTGTTACAATTATTTTACTGTATATATATATATAAGTACGTCTGAACCAGTGACAACTCTACGACGAGTTACATATATGTATATATATATTCGTTTCGTAGGTCAAAAGGAATATCACTTAATTTGGAATCTATTTTTATATAACATATGGTTTATTTTTCGTGTTTCCCAATATATATTTTGTATTTTTACACTATTTTGACATATTGACTCAACGTTAATATATTTTAAAATGATATTCGTTCCATGTTACTAGAAATAGTATCGTCGAGTCAATATCATTTCCTAAAATAGTAACATCGAGTCAATAATGATGTTCTTTTATATATTGCTAATCTTTTAGTCAAAATTTCATTAAATATCAGTAATTGATTTCCACATAATGGAAGGATGATAACACAAATAAAGAGCAATATGTGCTAATTGAATGACCATTATATATATATATATGTATGAAAACAAACTGCTGCTTAAAATGAGACAAAATGATAATCATAATTACAATGAAAAATTATTTTATCAAAGTGTCACCTGGGACATAATATGTTAGTATAATAGTCCCAGGTGTCACGTATTGATAAACAGCTGAACAATATAGAATTAAACATATGCAATATTTAAAATAACCAAAACCAGCCAAACAAATTGACTTATGAGACACTGTACAGATATATTACAAAGTTGTATACATATACAATAATATTTTGATATCATGCAATGAACGAACATAATCTCGCACCATCAGGAAAATGAAGGTCAATCAGATTATGTTAGTGATAATTATAAGTTTGGGTTTACCCATTTCTCTACAAGAACAAAGATTAGCAATTTAACACTGGACAGATGTATCTACAGCCAGTAGTAGCATGATAAATGGCTCTACTTCAGATGTTTCGAGACAAACGAGGACCGCCAAATACGTACTAACAAAAGGGAATCACGAGATGAAACGACCAATTCTGGTATGCAAACATCTACCTACCCTGATATATTTGGAGATGCTTGCTTTTCAGAAGGCAGATGTCCTACACAGGAGACTTTGAATGGAAATTGGTGGTTCTGCAACTGTGATAGTGACTGTGAACATTACAACGATTGCTGCCTTCAGCACAATTCAACAACAGCAAACTTTAACCATGTTCATCAGTGTATCAAGATGAATACTGATGAAAATACGTTTATTGGTTTTCAAGCCATATCATGGAAAAAAAATACTAATATTTTACTCAAAACAAACACGACTTATTGCAGTTCTTCACTTATACTCAACACAAAAATACGTTTACCAATAAAACTTTCTAGAAACTGGACCACCTGTTGCTGTTGGCAAAAACTTTATTTTTGAAAACAAATATTGCGCTCTTTGTAATGATGTAAAAGAATACATTCATTTTGATGTCATATTTTACGATGTAAAAATGACTTCTGATGAGTATGACTATTTTCAAAATCAAACAACAAAGTCAAAACTTAGTTTTATTTTCATTCATGCTGAATACAAACTAGAACCACCTCTGAATCTTAGGATATGTGCGACAAACTTAATAGAAAAAAGTCAACCTCTCTGTCAGGCGTATATAAATCCAATATGAAGGGATTACCGCTTGTACAGAAATGAGTTTTGTATGCCTGAACACGAAAAACAGAAATCTTTCTATTGTTTGGCAAATATTATGAGTGTGCTGTGGCGAGTGAACGAGATTCATAGTTTATCTGTCATTTTCTCCTTCAAGGAACCAATGCTGATGACAGAAAGTCGAAACGAGTGTCAAAAAATGGTCTGAAGAGGTAATGTTTTGTATCATTATTTTAGACTTAATAAACATAATCTTTAAATATCCTTCTGATTACTGGTAATTGTATGGGCATGTTTTTTTTCACAAATTGTTCCCACGTCTAGATTGGTAGTTGTTCAATGCACCTAAACTTAATTTGTATTTCAAATATCAAGGACAGTACGGTCAAAGATCCATTATATTACAATGAATCCGTTTTACATGTATTTCCTTTGGAATAGATTTTGTTAGAATTACAAAGGTTATATCACAATAGTTTATTTATACACTAGTTTAGGCCAGAAAGCTTGTCCCAATCCAGAAGAAAATATATAGCCCAGTACTGAGAAAACCGTGGTCGTTGGTTGCCAACATTGCTATTGCTAACATGTTATATAATGTCAAAATTATTTTTAACAAGATATATGCGGTATACGTCAACATGAGCAAATTTCAAACTTGCAGCAATGCGCTTAAACAAGGAAATACATGTAGAGGTTACATTGCATTTAAGGGAAACAAATACCTATTGCATATATCAACTTTAGATTTCACAATTAGTCAAAACGAGATGTGAATATATTCAATAGAAACTATGACGCCATTCTTTATTCCGAAACCGAAATAAACATCATTTGGGCAGAATAAAAAAAATAAACATGATTATGATAAGATGTGGATTAATCGTCAACAAGAAAGCAATATATGGTAACAAAAACGACGCCTAACGGTGAAGATAATAAACAAGTGTTATGTTTATACATTTTTGTAACGTTCTTTGTAGGTAGAAAGAAGTACATTGTGTGTGCATTTGGAAACGTACGCCAATTATGAAATACACCTGGAATATATCATGGTATCAGCTAAAAATCATACGAAGAGCGAACTTATTGCAATATGTTTAGTGTCTTTATGGACAGTTGTGGTGACAAATTTTACACAGTGTTCTGGTTATATTCTCCTGAAAGAAAGCGAAAGTAAAATGATGGTGAAAGTGAGTACATCCCTACAGGTCTTGAAGAAGTCATTTCGTAACGAAATACCTGTAATTGAAAAAAATTTCCAAGATCATAGAATAGATATTGTTATGAAGGACAATGACCCAGAAAAAAATACAATGATTAAAAAAAAAGTCCGATTTCAAGCACAAACGATGATTCACATCGTTTCAACAAAATATTTTATTTATTTATCGTTCCTGACCAGAAAGAAGCGTTTTTAAAATATTTATTACCAACTAAGAATATTAATATTCCTGCCATTAATGACAAATTTTGCAGTCATCAAAAGGTATCTATAGACGTTATGCCAGACGGGGCCAACATTAAAAATATCTTTGTTTCCCTTTCCCGACTGAGGTTTTCAGGGTATGGGTAGGTAGGTAGGCAAATTATTTTATTTTATTCCTTGATATGGCTTTCTATATTAAATTTGTACAAAATTCAAAGTAGATAGATTCAGACCATTTTTACTCAAAATTGCCTTTCAGTCATGTTACATTTAAAGGGCTGTCCAGGGATAGCCCCTTGAACATACTTCTGACAGACACATGACACATTTAGATTTAATTTCAGTTAACTGAAAAAACCACAGTGAATCTTGTAGAATTGCAAAGTCTGTTCAGACTAGTACATATTAATATTATTTTTATTTTTTGGGGTGGGGGATTTTATGATATTGTCATTTTATATATCTTATAAATATAAAATGACAATATAATTATAAAATTCCCCACTCCAAAAAACAAAATAAATTTTTTTTTATGTAAAGTAAGTATATATACAATTATTTGCAGTTTCACTCTTTCCCCCAGATATAGTATGCATTATTAAAATATATTTAAATGGCACACCCATCTCAGCTGTTCATGAGATTGAGATTCTTTGCTGGCTATAAATAACAAGATACAGGTAGTCATTAATTTAGGGATTTCCCATATTTTCCCGCCAAAAAGCACATGGCTCCCAACAAATGTAAACACACAAATTGTGCATGTGACCCTTATTTATTTGCAGGATTACTGCTTTTATTCATTTAATCTGGATATAGATATTCAATTTAAGGTACAGTCAAGCATTTGCATTCATAGAATAGTCTGCATACATATTTTTACTTTCAACTTGAAGAAACTTGGTCATACGACGTTTGCCTTGTTCAACCATGCGATACGATGTAAATAAATGGGAATGGGTAAACCCCGAGGATTTGCATGTTGTTCATGAAAGATTAGCCTGGCATCCTGACCCAATCTAATACTTCGTCGATGTCAAGCAGTTGGTCAGGAACCCAGGCTAACGAAAGATGGGAGTATACGATATCGTCCGAAACCATTGGGTTTTAAATTAGTGAAACCGGGATTTGTTGACAAGTATTTTTTTTTTATTCCTGGTTTTAAACAAAATTTTGACTAGCCCAGTCTGACTAACCAAGAGGGTGAAAAAAAATATGGGACACGAACGGCCAATAAAATTTTTCGGGTCGGTCGTGGGAGGGGAAACAAACAATATTTTATTTTTGGCCCGGGGGATTTTATATCGATTCCGATGCATTACGTTGTGATGAAACCAAACAGATTTTAGTGAGCATAATTAGAATCTTTAATTTGTCGAAGTTAGCCATTATAACATATGTTTGTTTTTCAGTATCCATTATTTCGCTGGTCATTTTTATCGCTTTCAATAGGAGACATAAATATCATAACAGTATCCCTGGTTCAAATATGGAAAAATTGTCCACGTCAATTTTACTGGCCAATATTATGTTCATGTTTGGTATATCAAAGATTTCTATTATATGCTATGTTTTTGGTATAATTTGAAAAAATGGGAGTTATGGGGCAAAATATTTTACCCTGTATCGTAGGAAAACAAGAGTGCTCACGCTGAAATGTCTCGCCTTCTTTACTAATCATTGATATTATGTTGATAGTCCTAAATATAGAGCTTTATTACAACTGTCACATAAACTTAACATTAACCAAGTAAACTAAACATTGACCAATGAACCATGAAAATGAGGTCAAGGTCAGATGAACCATGCTAGGCAGGCATGTACAGCTAACAACAAATATATATAGTTGACCAATTGCTTATAATTTAAGAAAAACAGACCAAAACACAATAAAATGCTCCGCAGGGCGCAGCTTGATACGACCGCAGAGGTCGAACCCTGAACAGTTGGGGCAAGTATGGACACATCATTCAAGCTTGATACAGCTCTGAATTTGGATTGTGATTAAATATTTGACACAGCATAGGTTTCTGACACAGAATGAATGTGGTCTAAGAACTTAAAAATTTTAAATTAGACATTCACCTATTATCGTCCAATATCCAAAATCTAAATACATGCTTAGATTCAGCATATCAAAGAACCCCAGGAATTCAATTTTTGATGAAATCAAACAAAGTTTAATTTTGGACCCTTTTGACCTCAATGTGGACAAAGTTGATAACGGGGCCCAAAAATCAAAAATCTAAATACATGGTTAGAGTCAGCATATCAAAGAACCCCATATATTCAATTTTTGTTGAAATCAAACAAACTTTAATTTTGGACCCCGATTTGGACCAACTTGAAAACTGGGCCCATAATCAAAAATCTAAAAACATGTTTGGATTCAGCATATCAAAGAACCCTAAGAATTCAATTTTTGTATGGACACAACATTCAAGCTTGATACAGCTCTGAATTTGGATTGTGATTAAATATTTGACACAGCATTGGTTTCTGACACAGAATGAATGTGGTCTAAGAACTTAAAAATTTTTAATTGGACATTCACCTATTATGGTCCAATATCCAAAATCTAAATACATGGTTAGATTCAGCATATCAAAGAACCCCAAGAATTCAATTTTTGATGAAATCAAACAAAGTTTAATTTTGGACCCTTTTGACCTCAATGTACCATCCTTTTATGGCATTGAACCTTATGGTAAAATTTCATAGAGATCCATTCACTTAAACTAAAGTTATAGTGCGAAAACTAATGTCTTCGGACGACGACGAAGACGACGACGACGACGCCAACGTCATACCAATATACGACCGCAAAATTTTTGCGGTCGTATAAATACTTAACACTGAGCAAAGAACCTTGAAAATGAGGTCAAGGTCAAATAAAACCTGCGTGACTGACATATAGATCATAAAATATTTCCATACACCAAATATAGTTGAACTATTGCATATAGTATTAGAAAAAAAGACCAAAACTCAAAAACTTAACTTTGACCACTGAACCATGAAAATGCGGTCAAGGTCAGATGACACCTGCCAGCTAGACATGTACACCTTACAATCATTCCATACACCAAATATAGTAGACCTATTGCATACAGTATAAGAAAAACAGACCAAAACACAAAAACATAACTATAACCACTGAACCATGAAAATGAGGTCAAGGTCAGATGACACCTGCCAGTTGGACATGTACACCTTACAGTCCTTCCATATACCGAATATACTAGACCTATTGCTTATAGTATCTGAGATATGGACTTGACCACCAAAACTTAACCTTGTTCACTGATCCATGAAATGAGGTCGAAGTCAAGTGAAAACTGTCTGATGGGCATGAGGACCTTGCAAGGTACGCACATACCAAATATAGTTATCCTATTACTTATAAGAGAGAAATTAACATTACAAAAAATCTTAACTTTTTTTTTCAAGTAGTCACTGAACCATGAAAATGAGGTCAAGGATATTGGACATGTGACTGACGGAAACTTCGTAATATGAGGCATCCATATACAAAGTATGAAGCATCCAGATCTTCCACCTTCTAAAATATAAAGCTTTTAAGAATTTAGCTAACGCTGCCGCCGCCGCCGGATCACTATCCCTATGTCGAGCTTTCTGTGACAAAAGTCGCAGGCTCGACAAAAACCAAGGAGTCCGAACATCTGACAAACATTCCAAAACCTGACCTAAGTACATCCTTAAGTACCAGTCCATGTAAAAATCATACAAACGAAATGCTGGCTCATGTCCCTTTAAAGATTCCGTTAAAGTTGTTTAAAAAGTATAGACTTGGACATTACAATTAACAATATGTTGACAATTTGCAGAATGCGCTGTAATTTTTAAACAATTTCGTCTATATTGTACAGCAACTGAAGACGTTGGTAAAAATGTTTGACAATAGTGCTTTTAAATATTTAAGAATTATATAACATGTTCTTCTTGACCATCTGTTTTAATCATCCATACACATGTGTACTTTTATAGTTTTACTGAATACCACGTTAATAGAAACCGATATCATTTTTAGATATAAGTTTTGCTCATAGTAATATTTGTACCGAAAGAGGTAAGGTCATTTTCTTCCTTGTTTATTTCCCAAAAGGTCCATTTTCTATAAGTACTCATAACTTTCCAGTATTACAACTTTGTGTGTGTACTCTAGGTTTTAACAATAATTTATCGTAACCGCCGAAGCATTAATGTCTAACTTAGAATCGCAAATGTGATCAAATGTGGTAGATTCTGAAATTTTCCGACGGTATTTAAAAAGAAAAGAAATAAGGCTCCGAACCAAAAACCCAATCGAATATATTCTATCGGGATTAATGCCGTGATTTGTTTTACAAATGAACATTAATTTTAGATAAAAATGTTCAATATCGTGCCAAAATTAACAAGAATGCACACGCTGAAAAGTCTCGCTTGCTTTACTTATCATGGTAGAATTTATGTTGAAAGTTTGTAATATCAGCGTAAGGTTTTACTACCAATCTGATTAAAATATTGATCTCTGATTTCGTTATCCTTATATATACGAGCACGCGAGTTGTGATAAATCTGAATTTTAATCAGATTGGTTTTATACAAATATCACAGAAACTTAACATTATCAATGATGAATGTAAATGGGGTCAAGGTCAGACGAACTCTGCCTGCTATCGACGTTTCTATCTTTACTATCAAGTTGAAAGCAAACGATATGGACCTACGAAGTCTTAAATTATGACTAGCAGTAATCATAAAAAGGACTATATATATATAGATAACTGCATCATATGTTAGTCAAAGTTCGTATGATAACTACATAATATCATCTGCGTATGTCAGAATGCTATTTACCTCTTTTCTACATTTTCAGCAGTTATTGATCATTAAAAATATGATGGATAACTGGATAACATAGTAAGAAGTAGAACTGAATTATTTATTCCCAAACGTGTTGGTTGTCTTAACGTAGGTCAACACTTGACCACCTTTTCATTTTCCAAGAACCCCAAGAAATCATGACTTTGAATTAAACCCCATTGAAATTGGTCTGACCGTCAAGAAACGAACAATTTATACAGAGTATTAGAAAAGTGTTGTTTTTTTGGCCCCTTTTTCCTAAACGGTTAGGGCCATAACCCCCAAAATCAATCCCAACCTTTTGTTTTTAGTATGAAACCTTGTGGTACAATTTCATAGAGATCCATATACTTATACTCTTTCTTATTTATACATTTCTCAGCTTGTTGTGTTTGCATGCAGTAATATATCGTACTTCAACATGTTCAATGGATGTAAAATTTACCTTTTCTAATTTTTTTACAAGAGAGTCAAGAAATCAACTGGTAGAACTGTATTTTATTTATCACGAACACAAACATATATAATTCATTAATTTAAAAGTGAAGAATTTCACACAGCTTTCAAATTAAAATATTGTTTATGGCTTCAACTCATTGATGTAGGTTTAATTATCTGTTTGTGGTCCAATCATTGCTCAAAATGTCTAGTTTAACCCGCCCCTGTTCTAAGTCTTGAAAATCAGTCATTTGGTGTATTGTATTATTGCTTTTTTTATCATTGGATGGACGAGTTAATACAGTGGCAAATATCACATACATACCAAAGACTAGGATCACGCTGAGCCAGCGTGCTAGTTCACAGAAGCGGAGAAGCAACAAATACAAATGTTTCAAGTCTTTTTTATGGACTCCGGAACATCCTGCCAAGAGAACACCAGGGCGATAGTTATCATTGATGAAATTGATGTTGACAGTTCTTAATAGCGGGGGGGGGATAATTTAATATGACGTTGTGTTACTGTCCGCTCACTCACACATACCCCAAAAATCGTTTTATTCATAATCCATAAAACAATTCTATTTACTTATTTACAGAGATTAATTCCTACAACTAGTTGATGTACAAATGTCCTATGGTTGTAACCTTATACACCTGCTTTTGTCATCGGGCTGACACCAGGATTACGTCTTCGCGGTAATCTATCTATACTATTAAATGAGAAGACCTCATTTTGCGTGTCGCTTCTCTTCCTTCCACAATAAATTAATCATCATGCCTCTGTGTCATATAGGTACCATGCATAGTCGCATTTGTCATCCTCGCTTATGATTATTTAGTTTGGGTTATTTTGGGAGGAAAACGAAAATAAAGGTGTCAGACCACCAATTAAATATCCCTATCTGTTCAACCAAATTTTGCAATTTTCACAGCTTTCTAAATATTTTACCTTAAGTTTAACTTCATAGAAACCAGGTATATCCTGAATTGTACATGTATCAGCTTTCTGCATGCCAATTTACAACATACATTTACAGCCTTCTTAGAAAAAAACTGACCTTCAAAAAGAGGTACTCCAAAAATAACCCCCGGTTTTCTGGAAATCTTAAATTAGTATACTATGGAGCGCATTAATCCTCAATTTTTAATGCAAACTCATAGACAAGTAAATTTTGGCTAAAAATGGTCTTAATATATTTCTCTTTCACCAAAAGTTTCATTTCTGCAAATTTGTTGGTTAGTTTAAGTAAACAAGGACATAATAAAATGCTTCGCTGGGCACAGCTTGATACGACCGCAGAGGTCGAACCCTGAACAGTTGGGGCAAGTATGGACACAACATTCAAGCTTGATACAGCTCTGAATTTGGATTGTGATTAAATATTTGACACAGCATAGGTTTCTGACACAGAAAGAATGTGGTCTAAGAACTTGAATTTTTTTGATTTACCTATTATGGTCCAATGTCCAAAATCAAAATACATGGTTAGATTCAGCATATCAAAGAACCCCATATATTCAATTTTTGTTGAAATCAAACAAAGTTTAATTTTGGACCCTTTTGACCTCAATATGAACCAATTTGATAGCGGGGCCCACAAATAAAAAATCAAAATACATGGTTAGATTCAGCATATCAAAGAACCCCATATATTCAATTTTTGTTGAAATCAAAAAAAGTTTAATTTTGGACCCCAACTTGAAAACTGGGCCCATAATCAAAAATCTAAACACATGTTTAGATTCAGCATATCAAAGAACCCCAAGAATTCAATTTTTGTTAAAATCAAACTAAGTTTAATTTTGGACCCTTTGGACCTGTATGTAGACCAATTTAAATAAAATGCTTCGCTGGGGCGCAGCTTGATACGACCGCAAAGGTCGAACCCTGAACAGTTGGGGCAAGTATGGACACAACATTCAAGCTTGATACAGCTCTGAATTTGGATTGTTATTAAATATTTGACACAGCATAGGTTTCTGACACAGAAAGAATGTGGTCTAAGAACTTGAATTTTTTTAATTTACCTATTATGGTCCAATGTCCAAAATCAAAATACATGGTTAGATTCAGCATATCAAAGAACCCCATATATTCAATTTTTGTTAAAATCAAACAAAGTTTAATTTTGGACCCCAACTTGGACAAACTTGAAAACTGGGCCCATAATCAAAAATCTAAACACATGTTTAGATTCAGCATATCAAAGAACCCCAAGAATTCAATTTTTGCTAAAATCAAACTAAGTTTAATTTTGGACCCTTTGGACCTTAATGTAGACCAATTTAAAAAACGGGACTTGAAATTAAAAATCTAAATACACGGTTAGATTCGGAATATCAAAGAACCCCAATAATTCAATTTTTGATGAAATCAAACAAAGTTTAATTTTGGACCCTTTTGACCTCAATATGAACCAATTTGATAGCGGGGCCCACAAATAAAAATCTAAATTCATGGTTATATTCAGCATATCAAAGAACCCCATATATTCAATTTTTGTTGAAATCAAAACAAAGTTTAATTTTGGACCCCAACTTGGACCAACTTGAAAACTGGGCCCATAATCAAAAATTTAAACACATGTTTAGATTGAGCATATCAAAGAACCCCAAGAATTCAATTTTTGTTAAAATCAAACTAAGTTTAATTTTGGACCCTTTGGACCTCAATGAAGACCAATTTAAAAAACGGGACCCAAATTAAAAATCTAAAAACACGGTTAGATTTGGCATATCAAAGAACCCCAATAATTCAATTTTTGATGAAATCAAACAAAGTTTAATTTTGGACCCTTTTGACCTCAATATGAACCAATTTGATAGCGGGGCCCACAAATAAAAAATCTAAATACATGGTTAGATTCAGCATATCAAAGAACCTCATATATTCAATTTTTGTTGAAATCAAACAAAGTTTAATTTTGGACCCCAATTGAGACCAACTTGAAAACTGGGCCCATAATCAAAAATCTAAATACATGGTTAGATTCAGCATATCAAAGAACCTCATATATTCAATTTTTGTTGAAATCAAACAAAGTTTAATTTTGGACCCCAATTTGGACCAACTTGAAAACTGGGCCCATAATCAAAAATCTAAACACATGTTTAGATTCAGCATATCAAAGAACCCCAAGAATTCAATTCTTGTTAAAATCAAACTAAGTTTAATTTTGGACCCTTTGGACCTTAATGTAGACAAATTTAAAAAACAGGACCAAAAATTAAAAATCTAAATACACGGTTAGATTTGGAATATCAAAGAACCCCAATACTTCAATTTTAGATGAAATCAAACAAAGTTTAATTTTGGACCCTTTTGACCTCAATATGAACCAATTTGATAACGGGGTCCACAAATAAAAAATCCAAATACATGGTTAGATTCAGCATATCAAAGAACCCCACATATTCAATTTTTGTTGAAATCAAACAAAGTTTAATTTTGGACCCCAATTTGGACCAACTTGAAAACTGGGCCAAAAAATCAAAAATCTAAATACATGTTTAGATTCAGCATATCAAAGAACCTCATATATTCAATTTTTGCTAAAATCAAACAAAGTTTAATTTTGGACCCTTTGGACCTTAATGTAGACCAATTTGAAAACTGGACCCAAAATAAAAAATCTAAATACACTGTTAGATTCGGCATAACAAATAAATAAATGTGATCAAAGATTTTACAAATCTAATGCGCCATACTGTGCAATTAAAGATTACTTCTTGAAATTTTTCAATATTTGAAATTTGAAAAAAAAATAATATTTGAAGAATAATTCTTTTTAATTTCTGATATCTGAAATGAGAAAAAATTGACCCCCCACAATTTCTTTTTATCCCCCCCCCCTTTTTTTCCCCAAAAAATTCTTTCCCTCAAGATATGGTCATAATCTCAATTCAAATGTCCAATGGAGTTGGCAACCATAATTACCCATTTAAATTTACCATAGTGCTAACTTAATCTATTTTATAATAGAATGAAAAATATACTGTCAAATCTTTCATATGGATTTTTTTGTAAAAAAAAAAGATGCAACATTTGCAGATATTTTTACTGGTCTTCCTTTATAGATATGCATTTCTTTAAACATAATTTAAAAGCAGTGTAAGGGAAGAAACCAAAACGTTGTATTTTGATTACCTCCCTTACACTGTTTTAAATTATCTTTATTGTTCATTAACCATTACTTTATACATAATTTAAAAGCAGTGTAAGGGAGATAATCTCAATGATGTATTTGATTTATCTCCCTTACACTGCTTTAAATTATGTTTTGTACAAAAGTATTTGTCCATTAACCAGGACAACCTTGTTTTTCCCCCTTTTTTGCCCCTAATTCCTAAACGGTTTGAGCCATAACCCCCCAAAGCAAATCCTAACCATCCCTTTGTGGTATGGAAACTTGTAGTATAATTTCAGAGAGATCCATACACCGTTCCACAGTTATTGTCTGGAAACTAGAAAATGCTTATTTTTGGCCCCTAATTCCTTAACTGTTGGTACCATAACCCCCAAAATCAATCCCAACCTTCCTTTTGTGGTATTTAACCTTATGGTCAAATTTCAAAAAGATCCATTCACTTAAACTAAAGTTAGAGTGCGAAAACCAGTATGTCTTCGGACGACGACGCCGGACGATGACGACGACGACGACGACGCCAACGTCATACCAATATACGACCACAAAATTTTTTTGCGGTCGTATAAAAACTGGACCCAAAATTAAAAATCTAAATACACGGTTAGATTTGTCATATCAAAGAACCCCAATAATTCAATTTTTGATGAAATCAAACAAAGTTTAATTTTGGACCCTTTTGATCTCAATATGAACCAATTTGATAGCGGGCTCACAAATAAAAAATCTAAATACATGGTTAGATTCAGCATATCAAAGAACCCCATATATTCAATTTTTGTTGAAATCAAACAAAGTTTAATTTTGGACCCCAATTTGGACCAACTTGAAAACTGGGCCAAAAATCTAAAATCTAAATACATGTTTAGATTCAGCATATCAAAGAACCCCAAGAATTCAATTTTTGTTAAAATCAAACTAAGTTTAATTTTGGACCCTTTGGACCTTAATGTAGACAAATTTAAAAAACAGGACCCAAAATTAAAAATCTAAATACACGGTTATATTTGGCATATCAAAGAACCCCAATAATTCAATTTTTGATGAAATCAAACGAAGTTTAATTTTGGACCCTTTTGACCTCAATATGAACCAATTTGATAGCGGGGTCCACATATAAAAAATCTAAATACATGGTTAGATTCAGCATATCAAAGAACCCCATATATTCAATTTTTGTTGAAATAAAACAAAGTTTAATTTTGGACCCCAATTTGGACCAACTTGAAAACTGGGCCAAAAATCAAAAATCTAAATACATGTTTAGATTCAGCATATCAAAGAACCCCATAAATTCAATTTTTGTTAAAATCAAACAAAGTTTAATTTTGGACCCTTTGGACCTTAATGTAGACCAATTTGAAAACTGGACCCAAAATTAAAAATCTAAATACACGGTTAGATTCGGCATAACAAATAAATAAATGTGGTCAAAGATTTTAAAAATCTAATGCGCCATACTGTGCAATTAAAGATTACTTCTTGAAATTTTTCAATATTTGAAATTTGAAAAAAAATAATATTTGAAGAATAATTCTTTTTAATTTCTGAAATCTGAAATGAGAAAAATTGACCCCCAACAATTTCTTTTTACCCCCCCCCCCCCTTTTTTCCCCAAAAAAATTCTTTCCCACAAGATAAGGTCATAATCTCAATCAAATTTCCAATGGAGTTTGCAACCATAATTACCCATTTAAATTTACCATAGTGCTAACTTAATCTATTTTATAATAGAATTTAAAATATAGTGCCAAATCTTTCATATGGATTTTTTTGTAAAAAAAAAGATGCAACATTTGCAGATATTTTTACTGGTCTTCCTTTATAAATATGCATTTCTTTAAACATAATTTAAAAGCAGTGTAAGGGAAGTAACCAAAACGTTGTATTTGGATTACCTCCCTTACACTGTTTTAAATTATCTTAATTGTTCGATTTATCTCCCTTACACTGCTTTAAATTATGTTTTGTACTAAAGTATGTGTCCATTAACCAGGACAACCTTGTTTTTCCCCCTTTTTTGCCCCTAATTCCTAAACGGTTTGAGCCATAACCCCCCAAAGCAAATCCTAACCATCCCTTTGTGGTATGGAAACTTGTAGTATAATTTCAGAGAGAGCTCCATACACCGTTCTACAGTTATTGTCTGGAAACTAGAAAATGCTTATTTTTGGCCCCTAATTCCTTAACTGTTGGAACCATAACCCCCTAAATCAATCCCCACCTTCCTTTTGTGGTATTGAACCTTATGGTAAAATTTCAAAGAGATCCATTCACTTTAACTAAAGTTAGAGTGCGAAAACCAATGTGTCTTCGGACGACGACGCCGGACGACGACGACGACGACGACGACGCCAACGTCATACCAATATACGACCGCAAAATTTTTTTGCGGTCGTATAAAAAGCACTATTTTGTGTCAGAGTAGGGCTACTTTTACATACGTTCTAAATTAGAGGGAGTAATTGGTGGTCTGACATCTTCGGACGGACTTTTAAGTCATAGACAAGACTTCCGTTTAGGACTGTTTTATAATTACACATAATTTTCATAAGTACTTGGGGACAGAACAATTATTTTGGCGCTTTTCTGTATACTATGATCATACATATACTATAAATAAAGTGTATTTGCTATTTACTATCAATTCCAAGTTTACTATCCACGGCGGTCACTGATATATTATAGAGAGTCTCTATATAATATATATCAGTGACCGCCGTGGATAGTAAATTTGGAATTGATAGTAAATAGCAAATACACTTTATTTATAGTATATGTATGTTTATAGTATACAGAAAAACGCCAAAATAATTGAAATTAACAGAAAAAAAATAGCGGACTTTTGAAAAAAGGGAGAGGGCTAAAAAAAATTGTCCTGTCCCCAAGTACCTATGACTTTTGATACCTTTCCTGAAATTCTCCAGTCATAAAATCTTTTACAAAAATACATCCAACTACAGTTTACATACTTTCAACCACGCCCTAAATGCCAGCGGTTTCGCAGGTGTGTTCTAGTATCATTTACATTAGCAACAATACGGGTAAATGTCATTCGGTGATGTCAAACACGATGTAAGTGTTACCCACCTTATCTAAAATAAATAGGGTTCGTTTTCTTTTTAATGAGACTATTAAATAGTAAAAGTCAAAATAGTACTATTTTAACAAGAAGCTCCATGGCTTGCCTCATATATGCTTTTCACAGAACGAAAGTAACATTTTGCAAGTGCTCTGCTGGCTGTTTTTTTTTTCGATTTTTTTTAAAGTAGCATCATTTGTAATAGACCTTAACTGTCAAGTTTCGTTTTCTACAAAATATTTCTTTTTTAAAATTGGATCACTGGACCACATTTTAACCACCTTTACACTTTATACCAATTACCTTTTAAAGCATATTTCTGCATGGTTTGTTTTCATTTCATTACCTGTTCTTGAAAAGAAAAACAAATCCAACTTCCATATGGGTTTCAATGTAAACTTTGAACTCAGCTGTCGACCATTTTGAAATTATGATGATCATCAAATTCTCTACACTTGTTAATAAAATGCTCCGCTGGGCGCAGCTTGATACGACCGCAGAAGTCGAATCCTGAACAGTTGGGGCAAGTATGGACACAACATTCAAGCTTGATACAGCACTGAATTTGGATTGTGATTAACTATTTGACACAGCATAAGTTTCTGACACAAAATGAATGTGGTCTAAGAACTTAAATTTTTTTAATTGACCTATTCAAACCATATCATTATTATTTGCTTTTATATATAAATCAGAAATAACCAATTTAAAATGGAAAATTTTAAAGAAAAAAAAGGAAAATAAAATCCCTCCTCAAATTTTTTGAACCCCCTTATGATTCATCACCCTTAAACTCAATCCCAGCCTTCCCTTTGTGGTATGGTACCTTGCAGTACAATTTCAGAGAGATCCGTACACTTGAACACAAGTTATTGTCTGGAAACTAGAAAAATGTTTGTTTTTTTACCCCTTTTTGGCCCCAAATTCCTAAACGTTTGGGGCAACTACCCCCAAACTCAAACCCAGCTTTCCCTATGTGATATGGAACCTAGTAGTACAATTTCAGAAAGATCCATACACTAACACACAAGTTATTGTCCTGAAACTAGAAAAAGGCTTGTTTTTTTGGCCCCCAATTCCTAAAATTTTGAGGCCATTACCCCTAAAATCAATCCCAGCCTTCCCTTTGTGGTATGGTACCTAGCAGTACAATTTCAGAGAGATCCGTACACTTGAACACAAGTTATTGTCTGGAAACTAGAATAAACTGCTTCGCTGAGCGCAGCTGGATACGCCCGCAGAGGTCTAACCCTAACAGTTGGGGCAAAAATGGACACAATATTCAAGCTTGATACAGGTCTGAATTTGGATTGTAATTAAATATTTGACATACATCTATTATAGGTTTCTGAATAAATGTAGTCAAAGAACTTGAAGTTGGTTATATGAATTGAATTTATATTCAATTAAAGATTTCTTGCTGTTGTGCAATACACTGTGCTGTTGCGCAATACTTAGTAAATCTGTTGTCAGACTATAAACAAATAAAATTTATAAAACTCTAAAAGGAGCTTACATCAAAAGATATAAACAGTTCACCAAAGTTTCATACATTTTTGAGTTTTTGTCTGAAAACTGGAAAATCCCCCCTTTTTTAATGAATAAACCCCATAATTCGGAAATTTAAAATCTAAAATTTATAAAATTCTAAAGGGAGCTTACATCAATAGATACCAACAATTCATCAAAGTTTCATGAGAACTGCTGAATGCATTTTTGAGTTATTGTCCGAAAACTGGAAAATCCCCCTTTTTTTTATGAATAAAACCCCATAACTCGGAAACGTAAAATCTAAAATTTATAAAAAATGAAAGGGAGCTCACATCAATAGATATAAACAATTCACCAAAGTTTTAAGCAAATTGGTTAAAGCGTATTTGAGTTAATGTCCGACATGTTGACGACGGACGGACGGACGTACAACGGTATACCATAATACGTCCCGTAAACGGGCGTATAAAAATGCTTATTTTTGGCCCCTTATTCCTAAATGTTTTAGGCAATTATCCCCAAACTCATTTCCAGCTTTCCCTTTGTGATATGGAACTTTGTAGTACAATTTCAGAAAAATCCATACACTTACACACAAGTTATTGTCATGAAACTAGAAAAATGCTTGTTTTTTGCCCCTTATTCCTAAAATTTTGAGGCCATTACCCCCAAAATCAATCCCAGCATTCCCTTTGTGATATGGAACCTTGTGGTACAATGTCAGAGATAATTTTATTGGTTCAAAATCCAAAATTATAGGATTGTTACCAAGACAATACATAAACATACAAACAAAATCTGACCACATTATAAACATTATATATATATATATAACTGTATATCCCCTCCATTATTAAAAGAAAATATTGTTACAATAATAAATGAATGTATATAATCTCTGCTGAGGAGGTGAGATCCATACACTAACACACAAGTTATGTCTGGAAGTTACAAAAATGCTTATTTTTGGCCCCTAATTCCTTAACTGTTGGTACCATAACCCCCAAAATAAATCCCAACCTTCCTTTTGTGGTATTGAACCTTATGGTAAAATTTCATAGAGATCCATTCACTTAAACTAAAGTTAGAGTGCGAAAACCAATGTGTCTTCGGATGACGACAACGCCGGACGACGCCAATGTCATACCAATATACGACCGCAAAATTTTTTTGCAGTCGTATAAAAAGTTTGTGAAGACTTGAAATTTAAAAAAAATTACCCTTGGCATCAGAAGTTGAACCACGTGGTTAAATAGTACCAGGTAACATTTCTGCAAAGTTTTTTTATTTACTACATTCATTCATGTTCAGGAAATCAAAATGCATTTTCCGTTCAAGGTAAACTTTGACCTACAATGGCAACCATCTTACGATCACCAAGATATCAAAACTTCAGGACCTTCACAACAATATGAAAGCTTTCAGAAGAACAAAGACACACACAAAGTGAGGCAAAAGCTCATGCTGTGCTTTATAAAATGAAGTAAATACAGAGAATACCTCAATTTAGTCTAACAGTTTAAAATTTATAAAATTTGGTCAAATTAAGGTAATTATTGTGAAATGCAATAGAAGGTGCAGAGAATGGTATATCATTTATAGAAACAAAAACATAAAATATGGTCCTGAAATACACTCTTTGTATCATTGCTGGTCTTTTACTTTCCGGTATATATCCATCTGTTTTTTAATCACTGCTTTACATAATATACACATTACATGTTACCTTATACCAATATTGTATAGGAAACCTTACCACAATGAAGCATTTAGATCATTATGGCATAAGGAACTATACAAATAATGTTTTCTCTTGTATATACTCTTTACATTTACATTTGTGCTGTTGAAGAGCCCAAAATTTAGTCTCAATATTTAATTCACAATCTGACAATTTTTCATTATATTCTTTTTACATAAATCAGGCAGTTTGCTTCTCGCTTTAACCTTTTACATTTGTCATTTCAGAGCCTTTGATAGCTTGCTTCGCAGTATGGGTTTTGCTCATTGTTGAAGGCTGTATAGTGACCTACTGTTCCAATCTTCTGTGTCATTTGGTCTCCAGTGGAGAGTTGTCTCATAGGCAATCATACCACATCTACTTATTTTTATATTGTAATAGAGATTTTTTTATTTATAAATAAAATATGTAAGATGTTAATGACGCAGCAACCTGAAGACAAGATCTCTATACTGTTGCAAAATGTCCTCCACTGATGCATGTTCAGTAAATAGGATTATTGTTTCTCTATAAAATGTTTTTCAAGTTTATGTAGTTGTGTCATAGTGGTACAATAGCAGAAAAAATGGACAAAAACACATTTCTCTAGTTCTAAATGAAAGAATCGATATTGGGGTACAATATAGTTGAATATGATGGCAACCAATCCTACCAAGTTGTGAAATATTTTCAAACAGTCTCATAAGAGTTGAATTCACAGGTGTTATTGAATTATGATATTCCAAAAAATGGTTTAAGTTCTCTTACTCCCAGAAAAATGACCTAATCAAAATGACTGTATACAGTGGCAGATTCAGAAATTTTCATAAGGGGTTGGGCACTGACTGCCACAAGAGGGGGCCCCGCTACAGTCATGCTTTAGTATTCCCTAAATAAGCAACAACATTTTTCCCACAAAAATCCGCCCCTGGTATAATATGGTCATCTACATGTGACTGCAAACAATCCAACTAAGTATGACACTTTTCTGTCAAACAGTCTCAAAGGAGTAGCTTTCGTAGTGTCATTGTTACAATACTACAAAATATGGTCAAAGTCCAATTACTCTAGAGAGGTGATCTAGTGATCACAGATTCCATCCATCTGCAGATCAGGATTTTCTAAAGTGGTCCGAATGTTCCATTAAATTTCAATCAATTTGAAAAAGAGCTTCAATATTTGATATTATCTAGAAACCAAAAATATTTTATTTTTATTTTTTCCAACAATCAAGTACTATAACTCTGGAGTGATATAAGTGAAAACAATGAAATATCAAACATAACTGGTCTTTAGTGTTCCAAAATATTTCATTAAAATTAATTTCAATAAAATGCTTCACTGAGCGCAGCCTGATACGACCACAGAGGTCGAAACCCTGAACAGTTAGGGCAAATTTGGATATAATATTCAAGCTTGATACCGACTGAATTTTGATTGTGATCAAATTTTTGACACAATATAAGTTTCTGACACAAAATAAATATGGTAAAAGATCTTACAAATCTATTGCGCAATACTGTGCAATTGAAGATTACTTCTTGAAACTTTTACAAAATTTAAAATTTGAAAATTTTTGAAAAAATTATGACATCCTTAAAAAAATTTGAAACCCTAATTCCTACATGTTTGAGGCAATTACCCCCAAACTCAATCCCAGCCTTCCCTTTGTGATATGGAACCTTATGGTACAATATCAGAGAGATCCATACACTTACACACAAGTTATTGTCCGGAAACTACAAACATTGTTGGTTTTGGGCCCTTAATTCCTAAAATGTTTGCCCCATAACCCCTAATATGAATCCCAACCTTCTACTTGTGGTATTAAACATTGTACAATTTCAGAGCAATCGAAATACTTATACACAAGTTATTATCCTGAAACTAGAAAAATGTTTGTTTTGGGCCCTTTCAGGCCCCTAATCCCTAAACGGTTGGGACCATCATCCCCAAAATCAATCCCAACTTTCCTTTTGTGGTATTGAACCTTCTCAAAATTTTCATAGAGATCCATTAACTTAAACTAAAGTTATTGTCCAGAAACCAATGTGTCTTCGAATGACGACGCAGACGATGACGACATCATACCATTATACGTTCGCAAAAAAAAAAATTTTTTTGCGGTCGTATAAAAAGTGGTTTTCTATTTATCATCTGGAAACCACAACAGTTAATACCATAAATCTGGAAGGGTGAGAGTGAAGAATACAACAAAACTGAAATTAACCAGTCTTTAGTGGTCCAAAACATTCCTTTAAAATTTCAATTCAATAAAAAAAGAAGTCTTCTATTTATCATCTGGAAACCACAGTTTGAATTTTTTCAACATTCAATACCATAAATATGGAAAGGTGAAAGTGAAGAATACAACAAAACTGAAATTAACCATTCTTTAGTGGTCCAAAACATTCTTTATGGCTTTAAAATTTCAATTCAATCAAAAAAGAAGTCTTCTATTTATCAACTGGAAACCAAAAGTGTGACGGATGAACAGACAGACAAGACAGATGGATGGACACAAGGATTGCTGTATACCCCAGACTCTTGTCAAATAAAAATGGTGGTACAAAATAGTCAACTACACATTATGGCCAACAATCCTACCAAGTATGAGACCTTTCTGTAAAATGGTCTCAAAAGGTATGATCACAAGGTGTCCTGTAACAATACTTTAAAAAAAGTCAAAGTCCCAAAGCTTCCATAAATAAATGGGGATGTGTCCATGGGACACAGATGATGCCCGAGCTTGCATATAACGTTATAAAGGGACATAACTCAAGAACGGTAAAAGTGACACTACCATAATTATAGTTAGTCTATTGCTTTTAGTATCCGAGAAACAGACTTAATAACAAAATTGAACACTGACCAATGAACCATACAAACGAGGTCTAGGTTAGATGAACCCTGCCAGACAACATATTAGTTGTCCCATTAGCAATCATACCTCATCTCCTTATTATACGACCGCAAAAAAAATTTTGTGGTCGTATATTGGTATGACGTTGGCGTCGTCGTCCGTAGACACATTAGTTTTCGCACTCTTACTTAAGTTTAAGTGAATGGATCTCAATGAAATTTTACCATAAGGTTCAATACCACAAAAGGAAGGTGGGGATTGATTTTGGGGGTTATGGTACCAACAGTTAAGGAATTAGGGGCCAAAAATAAGCATTTTTGTAACTTCCAGACATAACTTGTGTGTAAGTGTATGGATCTCTCTGACATTGTACCACAAGGTTCCATATCACAAAGGGAATGCTGGGATTGATTTTGGGGGTAATTGCCTCCAAATTTTAGGAATTAGGGGCCAAAAAACAAGCATTTTTCTAGTTTCATGACAATAACTTGTGTGTAAGAGTATGGATCTTTATGAAATTGTACTACAAGGTTCCATATCACAAAAGGAAAGCTGGAAATGAGTTTGGGGGTAATTGACCAAAAAGCTTACGAAGAAGGGGCCAAAAAGGGGCCAAATATAAGCATTTTTCTAGTTTCCAGACAATTACTTGTGTTCAACTGTATGGATCTCTCTGAAATTGTACTGCAAGGTACCATACCACAAAGGGAAGGCTGGGATTGATTTTGGGGGTAATTCCCTCAAAATTTTAGGAATTAGGGGCCATAAAAGGGCATTTTATTTTTATATGCAATGATTCCATACACCAGATATATATCGGACCTGTTGCCTTTAGTATCTATCTGAAAAACAGACATAACCATGGACATTGACTTAAGAAGTGATGATCAATGAACATGAGGTCAAGGTAAGATGAAACTTGCCAGACAGACATGTACATTTTACAATCATTGCTTACAGTATCTTAGAAATAGACCAAACTGACTAAACTTAACATTTCCCAATGAACCATGAAAAAGGTCAAGGTCAAATAAGCCTGCCAGAAAAAAAAAGTACACCTTTCAATTTTTCCATATACCATATAGAGCTGATCTTTTGCTTATAGTATCCAAGGCAGAGATTGAAAATAAATGGGGAATGAGTCCATGGGACACAGATGATGCCCCCCCCTTGCGTATCATATAAAGTTATAAAGGGACATAACTGAAGAACGGTAAAAGTGACTCTACCAAAGTTCAAACTTGATCTGTATTTTGTGGTAATAAACATTTGGTTGAGGCAAACTAAGAGAACGGAAACGAAAAATTCAGCAATTTTCCCATTTGTGAAGGGGCATAACTCTAGAACGGTTAAAGTGACACCACCAAAATTCAAACTTGATCTGTATTTTGTGGCAATAAGCATTGTGTATAAGTTTCATAACATTTGGTTGAGGCAAACTAAATTTTAGAGAACGGAAACCAACATTGGGATGTACGGACGTACAGATGGACAAGGGTAAAACTTAATGCCCCCTCTGCTACGGCGGGGGCATAAAAATTATTTTTTACATTGACCAATGAGCCATTAAAATGAAGTCAAGGTCAGACAAAATCTACAGTCAAACATGTACACCTTACAATCATTCCAAACACCAAATATAGTTGACGTTTTGCTTATGATATCTGAGATATGGACTTAACCCCCGCTTGCATATCATATAAAGTTATAAAGGGACATAACTGAAGAACAGTAAAAGTGACACTACCCAAATTTGTACTTGATCTGAGTTTTGTGGTAATAAGTATTGTGTATAAGTTTCATAACATTTGGTTGAGGCTAACTTAAGTTAGAGAACGAAAATGTAAAATTCAGTAATTTTTCCATTTGCATAACTCTAGAACGGTTAAAGTGACACCACCAAAATTCAAACTTGATCTGTATTTTGTGGTAATAAGCATTGTGTATAAGTTTGACTTTCATAACATTTGGTTGAGGCAAACTAAAGTTAGAGAACAGAAACCAACTTTGGGACGTACGGACGGACAAGGGTAAAACTTAATGCCCCTCCGCTATGACGGGGGCATAAAAAAAACATGAATTCAAACAAAATTTAGTTTTGGACCCTTTGGACCTTAATATGGACTAATTTGAAAACAGGACCCAAAATTAATAAACTGCTTCGCTGAGCGCAGCTAGATACGCCCGCAGAGGTCCAACCCTGAACAGTTGGGGCAAAAATGGACACAATATTCAAGCTTGATTCAGGTCTGACTTTGGATTGTAATTAAATATTTGACATATAATAGGTTTCTGAATAAATGTAGTCAAAGAACTTGAAATTGGTTATATGAATTGAATATATATTCCATTAAAGATTTCTTGCTATTGTACAATACTTAGTAAATCTGTTGTCAAGACTATAAACAAATAAAGTTCAATTAATTCCCAATGTCATATTAGAAATTTATGAAAATAAAAAAGGAGCTTACATCAATAGATATAAACAATTCACCAAAGTTTCATGAGAATTGGTGACAGCATTTTAGAGTTATTGTCCGAAAACTGGAAAATCACCCCCTTTTTTTAATGTATAAAACCCCATAACTCAGAAATGTAAAATGTAAAATTTATAAAATTCTAAAAGGAGCTTACATCAATACATACAAACAATTCACCAAAGTTTCATAAGAACTGCTGAAAGCATTTTTGAGTTTTTGTCCGAAAACTGGAAAATCCCCCCTTTTTTTATGAATAAAACCCATAACTCGGAAAAGTAAAATCTAAATTTTATAAAAAAACGAAAGGGAGCTCACGTCAATAGATATAAACAATTCACCAAAGTTTTATGCAAATTGGTTAAAGCAATTTTGAGTTAATGTCCGACATGTTGACATCGGTATACCATAATACGCCCCGTAAATGGGCGTATAAAAATCTAAATGCACAGTTAGATTCAGCATATCATAGAACCACAAAGTTAGAGTGCGTAAACCAATATGTCTTCGGACAATGACGACGATGCCAACGTCATACCAATATACGACCCCAAAACTTTTTTGCGGTCGTATAAAAACCTCAAACAATTCAAGATTTTAAATTAATCCTCATTGAAATTGGTTAAAAGATTTGTATTTATTTTCAATTGAAGATTTCTTGCTGTTGTGCAAAACTTTGCTGTTGCGCAATACTTAGTAAATCTGTTTTCAAACTGAATATAATAATTTACACACCCTGTTTGGTGTGTATCTCCTGCCATATCAGTATTTGTTGTTTCTTTATATAGATCAGAAATAATTTATGTTAGAACCAGCTTAGCCAGTATTAGAAAGGTCTTGTTTTAGGCCCCTATTTGGCCTCTAGTTTCTTAACCATTAAAGCCACAACCCACAAAATCCTTCCCAACCTTCTGCGTGTGGTATGGAACCTTGTGGTACAATTTCATAGAGATCCATGGACTAATACTTAAGTATTTGTCCGGAAACTAGAATAAACTGCTTCGCTGAGCGCAGCTGGATATGACCGCAGAGGTCCAACCCTGAACAGTTGGGGCAAAAATGGACACAATATTCAAGCTTGATACAGGTCTGAATTTGGATTGTAATTAAATATTTGACACATTATAGGTTTCTGACACAGAATAAATGTAGTCAAAGAACTTGAAATTGGTTATATGATTTGAATTTATATTCAATTGAAGATTTCTTGCTGTTGTGCAATACACTGTGCTGTTGCGCAATTCTTAGTAAGTCTGTTTTCAGACTATGTACAAAGAATAAGAAAAATAAATTGTGACCCCAAATTTTTCTTTGGAAAATTGACAATTTCTTAAATCTTGAGAAAAAAATATTGACCAACCCCTCCAAAACAAATTTGTTTTTTAACCCCCCCCCCTTTTTTGCAGAAATTTTCTTTTTAATTTCTTAAATCTTGTTGAAAAAAAATAATGAAATTCCTGAACAGTTTGGGCAATTACCCCCAAAATGAATCCCAACCTTCTACTTGTGGTATTGAACCTTGTGGTACAATTTCAGAGCAATCAAAATACTTATACACAATTTATTGTCCTGAAACTAGAAAAATGCTTGTTTTGGTACCCCTTTTTGGCCCCTAATTCCTAAATGGTTGGGACCATCAACCCCATACTACCTTTTGTGGTATTGAACCTTTTGATAAAATTTCATAGAGATCCATACACTTAAACTAAAGTTATTGTCCGGAAACCAAATGTCTTCGGACGACGACGACGCTGACAACAACGTGATAGCAATATACGACCCCAAATTTTTTTGCGGTCGTATAAAAATGCCTTTTTTGGCATCTTTTTTACCCTTAATTCCAAAACAGTTGGGACCATAACCCCCAAAATCAATCCCAACCTTCCTTTTGTGCTATTGAACCTTGTGATTAAATTTCATAGAGATCCATTCACTTAAAGTTATTGTCAGGAAACCAAATGTCTTCGGATGACAACATGATAGCAATATACGAACGAAAAATTTTTGCGGTTGTATAAACAACAATCTCAGATCTACATTCTGTTAATGTCAATAAGCATCAATTTTAGTTGTACTGCTTGATGAACTGCCTAACCTTTTTTAGTGTGCGTGTTTTTGCTGCATTTAACATAATTTTGTACTCAATACCATCATCTCTCTCATTTCATGATCATCTCAGCCTTCACGATAAACTTTTGAGTCCACAAGCCCGAAGCTCAGTTTTTTGAAAATTTTAGTTGGATTCTGTTGGCTTGTAGAGAAAAAATTTACAAGCCTGAAAGCAATTTTACAAGCCAATGCTGTAGGACTTGTGGTTAAGCGTGAAGACTGTCATCTTTTTTTTCCCATACAATATATGAAATGTTTTGTAAACACTCTAAGCATTCTACATTTTTTGTTTGAAAATTGTCAGATTGTGAATTAACTTAAAGTTACCATGTTCTTTCAACTATTTACTGTATGATTTATGCTGCACCTTGTAATGGCTCAGTATGTGGCATTCTTCTGTAAAGATACTTATTAAAACATTGTTATGGTAAAAAAGGACAATGAGACACACATTCTTCAAAACGTAACATTTTAATCATGTCATTATCTTTATAATACAGTAACATGCAATATTAACAATACAATAATTGTCAAAAATAGCACTGCACTAAATGTAACAAGTTTCGAACAAATAAATTCCTTATCATCATAATAACAATTATTTTTTACAGATAAATATCTGTGAACGCCCAAAAGTAACTAACATTCCTTTTACTCAAATGCATTCTTCAAGAAAAAAAAAATTTCTTTCGAGAAATCAAATCTCTTTGGTAAAAATATGCATCCCAAATCATTCCAATTTTGTAAGCTTGCAATAATTAGCATGCTTTTCTATTGATGCCAAAAAATATTACAGAAATAATTAAAATTTCAGATTTTGAATTTCCCCAACCTTATTCATTTTGACAGCCTACAACTGTATATCACCTTCTTGATACTACCCGATTTATAATTCCCGGGAAATGCTTCTTTCTTTCTCTACATTCACTTGGCTCCAAACATTTCACCAACAGGATTCACAACTGAATAGTAAAAATTTCATCCTTAAGTGATGTGAACAACTAAGTTATGCATAAAAGAGAATAATACAATCTTTCTTTTTTCACTTTACAATTCTAGTCCAAAGAATTTTTTTTTTTTATACTTGTAAGTTTCATAATACTGCTCATGTAAATGTACACTGAACTTCATTAAATTGCAGAATTTCATTTAACATGTTTTAAAGCATACCTTTTTTTATTTCATTTAACATGTTTAAAAGCATACTTTTTGTTAAAATATTATTCTCTCTCAATGCATATTTCATACATTTAAAAGTTGGAATTTCAAAATTTTAAATCTAATAAAATGCTCCGCTGGGGCGCAGCTTGATACGACCGCAGAGGTCAAACCCTGAACAGTTGGGGCAAGTATGGACACAACATTCAAGCTTGATACAGCACTGAATTTGGATTGTAATTAAATATTTGACACAGCATAGGTTTCTGACACAGAATGAAAGTGGTCTAAGAACTTATAATTTTTTAATTTACCTATTCATACATGTGATGGACTGTGAAACTCAGATCAGGAGATCGGGAAATTTTGGTCAGGAGATTAGGACTCAGATCAGGAGGTTTTTAATCGACATAAATTTTGTCGTGAGTGTAACCGTGTGCTGTAAAAATGGTCTTTTAAAGTGTGTTTTCTTCAACTTTCCATCCAATTTATTATGTTTATAGTACCCTTGTACTTATAAAGTTTCTCCATCTTTATATTTTACATGTTCAATCTAACAATTTTTTTTTTCAGTATGTTCTTTAAATTTTTTACTTCATATTCTATAAAACATTTATTGCAACCAGAACATTTGTTTAACTATCTGCAAATAGCTTTTGTTTGCATACTCAGAAAATCATTCTTACTGTACAACAAGGGTCATAGTTATTATATAAATTTCAATTTAAGCCTTGAAAGGAAGTATAGAATCCTCAAATAATTTTCAAATTATTATTTTTTTATTTGTCCTAAGACATTTAAAATCATTTATTTACCATCCTTTTATGATTATTTGTTCAATTTATATTTTATTTATATTCTTTTAAAAATTTTCATTATTAAAAGGAAAGTAACTTAAAACAGGATAAATCAAGGGAAGTAACCCAATAAATACACAGTTTTTGTTACACAACGGCAGTTAGCCTGAGGTAAAAAATCATTGATTACCAGTATGTTTGACACCCAAGCTGACAAGTGAAGCCATATAATTATGCATGTTAATTGATTTACAGGTAAAATATAACTTCAGGTAATGTGAGTTACACCAGATGCCTGAGATGATATGTTGGGCAGAAATTTTTCATTCATGAAAAATTTCATACACGGGATTATAATTTTCCTCTTCAACCGGAGGTCAGGAGGAGACTCCTGAAAACAGGATTATTGTACACCTGTCGGGAGGTTCACATGTATGCTATTCAAACCAATTATATTATTATTTGCTTTTATATATAAATCAGAAATAACCAATTTAAAATGGAAAATTTTAAAGAAAAAAAAGGGAAAAAAAATCCCCCCCCCCAAATTTTTTGAACCCCCTTATGATTCATCGCCCCCACACTCAATCCCAGCTTTCCCTTTGTGGTATGGTACCTTGCAGTACAATTTTAGAGAGATCCATTCACTTGAACACAAGTTATTGTCTGGAAACTAGAAAAATGCTTGTTTTTTTTGTCCCTTTTTGGCCCCTAATTCCTAAACGTTTAGGGCAATTACCCCCAAACTCCAACCCAGCTTTCCCTTTGTGATATGGAACCTTGCAGTACAATTTCATAAAGATCCATACACTTACAAACAAGTTATTGTCCTGAAACTAGAAAAATGCTTGTTTTTTGCCCCTTTTTGGCCCCTAATTCCCAAAATTTGGAGGAAATTACCCCCAAAAATCAATCCCAGTATTCCCTTTGTGATATGGAACCTTGTGATACAATGTCAGAGAGATCCATACACTTACACACAAGTTATTGTCATGAAACTAGAAAAATGCTTGTTTTTTGCCCCTTTTTGGCCCCTAATTCCTAAAATTTGGAGGCAATTACCCCCAAAATCAATCCCAGCATTCCCTTTGTGATATGGAACCTTGTGGTACAATGTCAGAGAGATCCATATATTTACACACAAGTTATGTCTGGAAGTTACAAAATTGCTTATTTTTGGCCCCTTTTTGGCCCCTAATTCCTTAACTGTTAGTACCATAACCCCCAAAATCAATCCCCACCTTCCCTTTGTCGTATTGAACCTTATGGTAAAATTTCATTGAGATCCATTCACTTAAACTAAAGTTAGAGTGCGAAAACTAATGTGTATTCGGACGACGACGCCGGACGACGACGACGCCAACGTCATACCAATATACGACCACAAAATTTTTTTTGCGGTCGTATAAAAACATATATGAAATGTATAGCTACATACAAAATCTTTCAAATGGAAGTCAAAATGACACCTGCATAATGAGTGCATTATAATTTAAATAAGAAAGATGAAAATCTATTTCAATAACTTATTTCAATGCATTTTGTTCTTGCAGGACAAGTATATCTCACGTGAAGAATTTTTCTTGATGATGATGATACCCCAAAAACATAAACTTGAAGCAAAGAAAATGAACATGCAAAAGAAACCTTATAATGTGAAATATATTGCTTAAATTTCTGAGTGTAAGATTTATATATCATGTATATCAAACAACATGTATGTTATGTTAGCTATATTTATTTGTTTTATATTATCACTATTGATTTTTTCATGATTTTACTTTAAGGTGGAGGAACAAAACAGCAAAGATAAAATCAAAACTTCAATTTGTGGTTATTAAATGTGCAAGACATGCTGCAATATGACTGTATTTAGGTTGTGAATATTTGATGCAAAACTTGTCCATGGGAAACTTGACAGAAAAATTTGTCTGAATCTGCTAAAAATCTTACTAAGCATTTTTTTTTTTTTTTTTACATATGTAGCATGTTTAAATAGTCTTCAAATTTACAAAATAAAACTTGAATAAAGGATAACCATTTACATGATTTATATTTAGCTTGAAACATGTCCAAAAATTTTTATGCAAAAAGGATATAGAATTAATTTATATTACAACATTTTTAAATCTAATATGTCTGAAATACTTTTGGAGAGTAAAGTTAATATCCCATCCCATTAAATGACAATAGACATGTTCACCTTTCCTTAGAAAAGGTGGTGACATGAAAGAGACCTTACCAAATATGGTAAAGAGCTGAAGAATTGGTATCCTATCAGCCTTCAGTTTCTCAATGGTAACAGCAACCTGTCAAAAGAACTGTAAGAGTCATTAGAATAATCTTCATAAATGAATTTACATGATATTTCTAGTTACAGTTTTAGGCTTTACAGCATTGTCCATAATCTGAATATTATTTAGAATGTATTTTCATCTGAGGCAATTATATATTTATCATCATGTAAATTTATTAACTTTCCATGCTTTATGACATTGTTAGTCATTTTACATATTGACTTTCAAGAACTTTATTATTTTCTTTAATAAAGCCTAAAACTGTTTACAATAATTTTTAAGTATTATTCAAAGTTAATATACTATACATTTGTACACTTTTTACAAAGAGTCAAACATTTTTTTTGTAATTTTTAAACCTGAACTGGGTGCTGTGATCATTTATAGCATCATTGTACTTAAATCTATTTACCAGTATCCAGAGTTGACCTTCTAATACCTGAAAGTCTATGTCCAGTTGATGGACATAATGAACATGCATGTACATTTGTACATGATCACCTCATCCTGATTTAAACAAATGAAGCAGTTTCAACTGCTACTTCCTTGGGCATTCCTTGAACACGATGCACAAAACTCCAACGACACATTTTCATTCTCGACATGAAGACAAACTCCTGCAGATTTCGATTTCTTGCAATGTTTTGTTTTCCCTTGATAGTCATGGTCATGTGCAGCACTTCTTTTGCGTTCCCTAAATGAACTTGTTAGTTTAACATTGGCATTTGGAATGTTTTTCAGCAAGTTTGACAATGTACTTTGATTCGCTAGAACACTTTTAAGATAATCAACTTCTTCCTCAAGAGCATTTTTGTGGTGCTCCAGCTTATCCATTTTGTCATTTAAATTGGCATTTTGAGATTGTAATGAATCAACTTCATCTTCAAGATTTTTAATATAAGCCTTTTTCTTTTCGCGATTCATTTTGGCTTGTTTTGCATTTTTCTTGTTTTTCTCATCAATGGCTTCAACTATCTCTTTCTCCATCTGAAACCTTGAACTAGTCCTTGGTGCAGTTATGACCTTGATCACTTTAACAGGTGGTAAAGTAGAGAAATTGCTATTTTTTGCTTCACTAGTGTTAACTGCCTTTGCTACAGTAGTGTTGGAAAGATCTTGCTTCCTGCAATTGATATCAGAATCCTGAGAGGTATCAGACACTTGACAGTGATATGCGTTTGTATTACTTGGAACAACTGGTGAAACAGACACAATGCTTGCTACATCAAAATCAGAAGCATCATTACTGTCAGTTTCACTAGCTAAGTAATTAGATAGTCCAGTGTCCAACAGATTCTCAAAATTTTCAAAGCATGGAGGGGACAGAGCTTTGAAAGAAATGTCATCTTCAAAGTCAGATATTATCGAATGCTGGGGACTACTCATGATACTAACCCCACTGTCTGATTCGTGGCTTGGTGATTTCTTCAATACATCATCTTTCTGTTCACCAAAGTTGATATCCACATTGATGATGCCGGTGTCCATTAGGTCATCTAGTAAACAAGGAGCAGATATTAACCTTTCCATTGTTAGATTATTGATTAATTAAATAAAAGTTATCAAAAATCTTTTCCCGAATTTGCAATAATTTATATTTTCAAATGTTCAATGTAAGTTTTAAAAAACAAAACTACAGTAAACTATACTATAGAGTGGAAAAATGTTTTTCTTTTTCAACAACTTACAAATTGTATGTCACTTTGCTACTGATATTCCTATCGTAATATACTCCGCTTCTAATATTAACTGTTCACTCACTGGTATTTTTTGGAAACTGTGTTTGAAAATTCCTAACAAACTATATAATACGTAGTCAATACGAAAGATACGTACCACCTACGTTTGCTGACGATCAGCAAAAATGTATCAATATTATTGGTTAATTTTATATGAAAAACTGTCAATTGTGGTAAGCTATTGGTTGGTTATTTCAGGTAATTACGTGTTCTAAACATAAAGCAAACGTTTAGACTGTTTTGATCAGTGAAATGTTTGGAAAATGGCATTTTCTTAATAGAATTATACAGCTTTTGTTAGACTATGATTTTCCCTCTTAATCTCTAACTTATGTTTTATATATCATAACCTTTTACTTTTATCATAAATATGCTTACTATGGCAAAAAATATTAAAAAAATACTTATTTCAGTGTAAAATAATTATGTTTTCAAGATTCAGAATTTGATCCTAAGTACTATTTTCAAATGTGAAAGTAGACAAGATGGCGACTTCCAGTGCAGACGAAACAACACAAAAAGATGCAGGAGATCTTTTGGAAAAAATATCTGATAAATGGGATCCCTGTACCTGCAGAGACTGGGAAAATGAGAAACCAACACAGCAGTGCTTTCTCAGGATAAAGAGGTTCTTAAAAAATAGGGAAAAAGAGAAAGGGGCATATATATACTTATGTAGTTATCTCCGTTTAAATAATTATGATGTCATTTAAGCACGATTAGCGTCATAAAAAAACTCGAAGTTGGTCCATAAGTCGTAAAAGATTGTCATCTTCATGTAAAGAAATGTATCTTCATTTTTCGAAGTGAGATATATGTAATCCATTATTAAAAGATACCAAAGGCAAAGGGACATTCAAAATCATGACATACATTTTATGTAAGTCGAAAATAAACTGACAACACCATGGCTTAAAAAGAAATAGACAAACAACAGTACAAAAAAAAAACACAACATAGAAAACAAAAGACTGAGCAACACGAACCCCACCATAACCTGGGGGTGATCTCAGGTGCACCGGAAGGGTTAGCAATAGCAGATCCTGCTCCATGTGTGGGACCCATCGTGTTGCTCATGTAAGTCCAAACCCTGTGATAAGTCTAAATTTGCAGCCCTTTTGTTGTCAATTATAATTAGTGATGCAATATATTGAACCTTTCATCCTCCAAGTGATACGAAAAAACACTTGACACTTTTCAATATGGACGCATAGAAATGCACATTCTGTGCCCCAGTGTAATTGCTAGCAACACCTTAATTAGTACATGGATTAGTCGCACCCAAGGATATTGGGTTTTTACCGACGTGTCATTAATAACCAATTTGAATTCAAGAAATTGACTTAACCATGGCCCAAGACCACAATTAATGACCCCGATTTTCGTTGTCCACGAATATAGTTCCTTTTAATTAGAGTGTATTTTTTCTTAATTTTTTTTCTTTCCCTTCCTCACTCATTTCTTAGTTTTTTTTTTGGGTGGAAATGAAAGAAGAGAGGTGAAATAAACTTTTGGATGTTGTATTTTAACTGATTTTGATATGGAAAGAGTGAGTAGGCCAGGTGCAAAAAGGTGATATTAACAGTTTTCGGAACATCTCTTGACTTGTCCATAGGGGTACATAGGGGTATGGATGTGTATTGGCTAAATTTGTAAGAGTCATTGGTTCAATCTTTCTGAATTTTGGATATATTTTTGGACTAGTACTATACATTACACACACAAAAGATTTGACAAAAATGCATGGTGCAATTTTTTTAATGAAACAAAATGTTATAAAGAACTAATAGAGGAATTTAATTGTGGTCTGTGGCCCCATGTTAACTGTGGATGATAACTTTAAACCAATAGTGAAAAGAAAATGGAAAAATGAAAAAATACTTAAAGGCTAAAAGCCCTCATAACAATACACAGAAAAAAGAAAGAATAATTAAGGTTGAGCAACTCTATACCTGAAGGGAACTCAGGTGAATGGTTGATAATTACTATTTATTTGCATGCTGCATGCTTTGTTTTATTTGTTATTGTATATGTTTTTATATTCTGTGAAAAGATCATTAGAGCTTACGTTTAATTTGTTTGTCAATATGCCGAATCAAAATAAAGTTTTACTTACTTATTTTCTGCTCCAATACTAAATACTGTAAATTCCAAAATTATTGCGAGGTTTTTATTAATGCGAATAATGCGACTCATTGAGTATCGCAATAATAAGAAATCGCATTCTGATATCTGGTACATATATCTGTATGTACATGATGTAGTTTTCCTAAATTCACAATAATTAACTCGCATTCTTGTTCATTCTTCCAAAATCGCAATAATAAATGGACACAAAATTTCTGAATTTACAGTAGTTACTATACAGAGGCTATTTTCACACATCTTACAGTACACACAGAGAGGACATATTCTCATACTCCCAACACTAATTCTGGTGTAACACAGTGTCACACTGAAACACGGATTTCTCTCCCAAAAAACTCCTAGTAATTACTCCCATCTGAGAGGATTTTATGACCTGTTGATTGCAGGTTGAAGTAATAAAAATCAACAAAGCATGACTGTATGGTCTGACAGTGACAGGCAAGGAAACGTAGATTTTTTCATACAATTTCGGTCATTTTGAGATGTCTTAAAAGTTGGTGCCCTTTTTCAAATTGTCGATATCGAATGGTCACTAGATTCATAGCATCAATGAACTTGTATTGGCTGTTTCATCGCATTTACTTTGTGAATTTCTTACCATTTTACTCAAAACCTTTTAAGAACAGTTTAGGGAAGGCAACAGTTTAAATTTGAAATGATTTTAATGACTCAGAATGGTTAATTTCTCAGACATCGCTAAAGTTTCTTTCGATTTTAGACGAAATTTAAACCGAAAGTTATGCAACAATTCATTTCAGGGATTCGTTTTGTTTATCAAATTGACAGGAAATAAACGGGTTTTAAATTTTATTACCTTTGAAAGTGTTTGAATATAATAGATATTAGTTGCACTCGTTTAATTAAGCATGAAATCATTTTGCATTTTACGATTAAGTGTCCTATCTGCTGAAAACAATTAATTTCACGCATGCATATTACATAGTAAATAAAGCACATGTGTTACTCGTGAAAAATTACTTTTTTCTACGTAAATTAAATTAAGTTTTAATTTTCAAATCAGAATTATTGATTATCTTTGTAGAAAAGTAATTAAATAATGAATACAGTTGTCATGGATTTTTAATTTCTTTATGATATTAGTTCTGAGCTTGTGATCATTGTCAGGTGTGAATTAAAAACACAGGTAAAAAGTGATTAGCGATCATTAGCCAATATTTCCCTGAGGCATGATATAGTTATTAGGAGGGCCTTCAGGATTATCAAACTATACTGGAGTGGCAGTTTTGTTACAGGAAAGGGATTTAAAAAAAAAAAGTGCAAAATGGCGATTAAGAAACCCGATCTCAATGAAATGACCGAAATTATTTCTGTAAAAAAATAAAATTTGTCCTAAATCCCAATTTTTTGTTTAGGACAAATAGCTTGCAGCTTAGGACATGACTGGCAAATATGACCGTTTCCCGACCCTTGGTGACAGGTCAACTATTTCTATTACTTCTTCCTATTTCAATTATTTCCTATTAAGTTTTATTTTTGAAAGATATAATAAGGTAATGAAATGATTATTTTAAATTTTACACACATATGTATTTTATTAACATTTGATCTTGTTAGATTGGAAAATTATTTACATTCTTTCATAATCTCATAATCAAGAATGGCAACTTGATATTTACATAAGTTGTATTTATAGTCGGTTTAAAAAATAATAGTAATGAAAAAATAAATAAAAATTGATGAATAAAATAAAATTGTGTAGATATATATATAATCTTCCCTTATTTTTATTATTTAAATTTAGAAAAAGATTGAATAAATTCAGTTAAACATACATGTCTTTATTTTCTAATAATTATACTCCACTTACAGGTGATGTTTTGCTTTGTTTCTATCTAAATTTAATGTCTATACAAAAATACTATGCAGATTTAATTATGTTTCTTAGACCTGTATGAAAACCAACACTAAATATAATTTTAATAAATAAAGTTGTGCAGGATTCTTTAATTAAATCAGATCATATGTCTCTGATTAAATTTAACAAATCTCACACTTACTTTATTATTGTGACTGTCATTTAATGACAGGAAACACAAGAAATGTTTATTGTAGTTAACAACTACTGGCACACTTTAAAGGTAATTATGGCAATAAAAATCATGGTGTTGGGAGAAACCACACCAAGGTAAAAAACAATTAAGGGATTTTATGGAGGAATTACTCCAAGTTTCTCCAAATTTTCTCCAAAGATTTGGAGAGTGTTGCTGGAGTTTTTTCGGTGTGACACCAAGTGTTTGGAGTATGAGAATCAGTACTCTCTGTGTGTACTGTACTACAGAAATTTATCATAAGTTTTTCTGAAATGTTCATGTCTTACAAGCTGACAAGTATTTTTTCTCACAAAATTTTTGTGAAATGAGTCGCTAAGTTTGGGCAAAATTTTGGTTTTCAGATGATATCTTTCGAACCATATGCCCATCTTCAAAAACTTAGCTTAAAATACCATTTAAATTGAACATGACCCCAATTTATTTTAGAATCAGTAGGTCAAGGTAAGAGTATATAGAATGATTTTTTCGGGGAAATTTTGTTGAGGTACAATATCTTTTGACCCATACATCAGATCTGCACAATAATTTTATAACTGTCAATATTGTATTTTTTATGCCCCCGTCGTAGCGGAGTGGGCATTAAGTTTTACCCTTGTCCGTCTGTACGTACGTCCCAAAATTGGTTTCCGTTCTCTAACTTTAGTTTGCCTCAACCAAATGTTATGAAACTTATAAACAATGCTTATTACCTCAAAACACAGATCAAGTTTCAATTTTGGTGGCGTCACTTTTACCTTCTAGAGTTATGCCCCTTTACAAATGGAAAAATTGCTGAATTTTTCGTTTCCATTCTCTAACTTTAGTTTGCCTCAACCAAATGTTATGAAACTTATACACAATGCTAATTACCACAAAGCACAGGTCAAGTTTGAATTTTGGTGGTGTCACTTTTACCGTTCTAGAGTTATGCTCCTTTACAAATGAAAAAATTGCTGAATTGTTCGTTTTTATTCTCTAACTTAAGTTTGCCTCTACCAAATGTAAGAAACTTATGCACAAAGCTTATTACCACAAAACTCAGATCAAGTACAAATTTGGGTAGCGTCACTTTTACAGTTCTTGAGTTATATCCCTTTATTACGTTATATGCAATTGGGGGCATCATCTGTGTCCCATGGACACATTCCCCATTTATTTTTAACTAACTTAGCATTTCAGGATCAATTATTTTTGCTTACTGAAAAGTATTTTGTACCTATGTATAATGTTGATATCAATTTATTTGCAGAGACATTATGGCTATATACAATGAACCACCACCTTTTATCTGTATAGTACCAGACAAAGAAGATATGACAAAGGTAAAAATTAATATCCTAATTAAAATGCAGATATATAAGATTTCTGTCTCTTTAGACTTCTTTTGATTTTAGATTTGATTTAAATCGTTTTTTCCTTAATTCTAAATGGTGTATAATTGAGTTTATACAATCAATTCACAAAGCATATTTTTAATTATCAGTAATTTAAAGTCCTCAAGCTATCAAGAGTTGAAACTTAAAAATTTAATAATTGACTTTTAAAGGCAATGGAAGACTCACTCCGACTCAATATTTTGATATTAATGTAAAAAAATAAAAAAATAAAAAAATAAAAAAAAAGGTCATTGTAACTTTGAGGTAAAAAGTAGCAATAAACTCTTTGATTTCTTGCTAAGAGTTTTTCTTTAAATGGGTGCCAAAGATGAGTTTTTTGTCTCACCTGCAATGAAATTTGCGAAAAGCAAGACATAGGGATTAGCTTATCGGCGGTAATGGCATCAACAATTGTTAAGTTTGCTACTTAAGTTACAATGAGTTAGTTTGATAGGAACTACAAGTGATTGTGATAGATCATTGATATTTAATATAAACTTGCATTACTATCAGTATATATCAGTTTGACGACTATTTTGAGGCCCTGCCCATAGGTCATGGTCATGGTCCAGTGACTGAATTAATTAGCAATTTTCAATGTCAAGTTTTCTGTTTAAGTTAGTATGAGAAGAACAACTTGTGATAAGTCATTGATATTTTGTATGAAGTTGCATTACTATCAGTACATATCAGTTTGACGACTATTTTGAGGCCCTGCCCCCTAGGTCATCGTCCAGTGACTTTGAATTAATTAGCAATTTCAATGTTAAGTTTTCTGCTTAAGGCAGTTTGATAGGTACTACTTGTGATTGATCAATAATATTTTCACTTTTCCGTGGAAAGACCTATTGATTTAGTTCTGATTATAATTGTCCTGCCTTGACAGAGTCAAAAAGCAAGACATAGGTATGCTGTTTCCGGCATCAGCAGCGGAGGCGTCAACAATGTAATAAACTTTATAGTTTGTGATTAGGTCAAGTTTATGGTGAACCACTAGTGGTAGGTCAATGATATTTGGTATGCAGTTGTATTAAAATTGGCACATCTCATTCCCATGGAGATTATTTGGCCCCGCCCCCTCAGTCATGGTCTATATACTTTGAAACTTTTGCTAAGTTTACATGTATAAGTTTGGGATTAGGTCAGTTTATGGGGAACCACTAGTGGTAGGTCAATGATATTTGGTATGCAGTTGTATAAGCATTGGCATATCTCATTTCCATGGAGATTATTTGGCCCAACCCCCTCAGTCATGGTCTATTGACTTTGAAACTTTTGCTTAGTTTACATGTATTAGTTTGTGATTAGATCAGTTTAAGATGAACCGCTAATGTTAAGTCAATGATATTTGGTATGCAAATGTATTGGCATTTGCAAGTCTCATTACAATGGAGATTTTATAGCCCCACCCCCTCATCATGGTTCATTGACTTTGAAACTTTTACATAGTTTACAAGTTAATGTTTGTGTTACGTTTGTTTAAAGGGATGACTTATGATAACTGAATGGTGTTTGGTATGCAGTTGTATTATCATTGGCACATCTCATTTCCATGGAGATTGTTTAGCCCTGTACTTTCAGTCTGTGTTAACAGTTTTTTTTTTTTTTCTTCCTCCACATTTATTTTTTGCAAGAAGATTTTATTTTGCAAGATGTCGCCGAGATATTTGGTATATTATATCTAACAGTTTATACGCTTTTGAAACTGACACAGTTTTATTGTTTAACCTAACACTTTTCTTTGTAAGAGTTATCTCCCCAAACACTGTTTTCTTTGTGATTGCTACTCCTTCACAGCCGTGAAAGTAACCAACAAAATTACCTGTTAATTCCTCAGGATGTAGAAAATCTTTTTTGACAGAAGCGATCCAGAGACTTGATATTAGAGTTATTTCCCCTTAAGTATTTGTAACTGGTAAACCTTAATTGATAGAGACCTGGGGTCATTTAATTTGAGGTCCTGGGTCCACCAGAAAATGAGGTCAATGTCATGTTCTAAATTTTAATATTTACTTCATATTGCTTCTATTCAGAAAGAGTTATAGATATCGACAAGAAAAATTAACCAAAATGTTAGTTGTGACATGTGGTAACTGGAAATTTTTTGTCAAAATGGTACGTGTCAATGTCCCTGAAATGGTCAAATCAACAAATTGACTAATTGTAACTTCAAACTCTGCGTCTATCATTATATGCATGTATCTTATCTCAATCAGTCAATCAATCGATCAATCAATTAACCATCGAACCAACTAATTAGGTACTTCCCCACCTTCTGTCACTCCCTCCCTGATTTTTTTGTTTGTTGAGGGATCACACCTTTATTGAATTGGAAATCACCTTCTGTTCTGTTAACATTACTACAAAAATGCAATCCTATTTATATACAATCATCTGAAATAGAAATCCATCCTGAAAATAATCGAAAAATATGTTGTCAAACTACACACTATAAAATTTCACAAAGGCATGCAATGCACAAACTCTCTTAATCAAGGATCAATTTACCTGTAAAGAAAAGAAAATTAAATCCTTTAGCACAGTGTTTAAACATGTGACCTATCTCCATGATATCTCCATCTGCAAAGAATTAAATTAGACTATCAGTTTGACCATATGTGCTTGGTAACGTCATAATCACATCATCTTGAGCACATGCTACCTTAAATAAAGCAGAGGTTTTCCCCAATCTCCAGGTCAGATTTCCTTACAAAATTAAAAAAAAAATGCACACACAATAAAACATGAAATCAGAGGTTCCGTAGAAAATGTAAAATTTATAACAAGGAAGATGTAAGGATTTTTTTTCATTAGGGTCACAAGGGTGTCCGTTTAGCTGTGTGGTATGTATAAGTACGCAGCCACGTTCAGTCAGAATGGGAACTTGAATTCCGATGTCTCATGTAGAAAGTGCCATGCAAAATTTTATGCAATCAATTTATAGTCAATCAATCAATCATGTTTTAGTCCCATGTGTTTAATAGGGGATTCAGTATTTCATTTCTTTCTATTTCGCTTGTTCTAAAAATCTGGTCCCATGTGTTTTTAACAGTTTAATCAGTCAACCAATCAATCAATCAATATTCAATCATGTTTTAAAAAAGGAAAGACCGATAACAATTGTTTTAAAAAAAAATTGTCAATTGATTTATATTTTTTATAAATTTGCATTACTATCAGTACATATCAGTTTGATGACTATTTCAAGGCCATGTCCCTGTAAGTCATGGTCCAATTTTCAAAGTTAAGTTTTCTACTTTAGTTAGTTTGATAGGAACTACTTACAATAGACAACAATTTTCTTTAAAGTTACATTACTGGTTGTTCATCTCAGTTTGCCCACTAGTTGATGGTCCAGTGACTTTGAATTACTTAGCTGTTGCTGTCCATCAGATTGTCTTTTTTCTGAATTTTATGCCAACAGGCGAGTCATATCTCTGTGTCAACAGTTTATTGTTACTTTATGATAAGTTAAATTTATGCAGGAATAATTTAAAGGTTTCAAACAGGGAAAATTGACAAAAAATGACCAAAAAATCATTTATACAAATACCACTTTTTATTGCCCCGTCATAAAGTGGATGGGGCCATATAGTGTTACCCTTATCTGTCATTCTGCAACCAACAGTTACACAGACTTTTTTTCTAAACGTCTTCACATATTGAGCTGATTTATAGAATGTGAGTCTACTATGATGAGTTACAGATCGAGATTTATATTTGGGTCTGCTCCACTGATTTTTTGGACTTTGAACATTTTGTGAAAATAACAGTTATACAGGCTTTTTATGCCCCCGCTGTCACCGGAAGGGGCATTAATTGTTACCCTTGCCCGTCCTTACGTACGTCCCAAAATTGGTTTCTGTTCTCTAACTTTAGTTTGCCTCAACAAAATGTTATGAAACTTCTACACAATGCTTATTACCATAAAACACAGATCAAATTTGAATTTGGGTGGCGTCACTTCTTTCGTTCTGGAGTTATGCCCTTTATATATGGAATAAAATGCTCCGCTGGGGCGCAGCTTGATATGACCGCAGTGGTCGAACCCTGAACAGTTGGGGAAAGTATGGACACAACATTCAAGCTTGATACAGCACTGAATTTGGATTGTAATTAAATATTTGACACAGCATAGGTTTCTCACACAGAATGAAAGTGGTCTAAGAACTTAAAAATTTTTAATTTACCTATTAAAACCATATCATTATTATTTGCTTTAATATATAAATCAGAAATAACCAATTTAAAATGGAAAATTTTAAAGAAAAAAAAATGAAAAAAAAATCCCCCCCCCCCCAAATTTTTTGAACCCCCTTATGATTCATCACCCCCAAACTCAATCCCAGCATTCCCTTTGTGGTATGGTACCTTGCAGTACAATTTCAGAGAGATCCATTCACTTGACACAAGTTATTGTCTGGAAACTAGAAAAATGCTTGTTTTTTGGCCCCTTTTTGGTCCCAAATTCCTAAACGTTTAGGGCAATTACCCCCAAACTCAAATCCAGCTTTCCCTTTGTGATATGGAACCTAGTAGTACAATTTCATAAAGATCCATACACTTACACACAAGTTATTGTCCTGAAACTAGAAAAATGTTTGTTTTTTTGCCCTTTTATGGCCCCTAATTCCTAAAAATTTGAGGGAATTACCCCCAAAATCAATCCAAACCTTCCCTTTGTGGTATGGTACCTTGCAGAACAATTTCAGAGAGATCCATACACTTGAACACAAGTTATTGTCTGGAAACTAGAAAAATGCTTATTTTTGGCCCCTTATTCCTAAACTTTTTGGGCAATTACCTGCAAACTCAAACCCAGCTTTCCCTTTGTGATATGGAACCTTGTAGTACAATTTCATAAAGATCCATACACTTACACACAAGTTATTGTCATGAAACTAGAAAAATGCTTGTTTTTTGCCCCTTTTTGGCCCCTTATTCCTAAAATTTTGAGGCAATTACCCCCAAAATCAATCCCAGCATTCCCTTTGTGACATGGAACCTTGTGATACAATGTCAGAGAGATCCATACACTTACACACAAGTTATTGTCATGAAACTAGAAAAATGCTTGTTTTTTGCCCTTTTTGCCCCTTTTTGGCCCCTAATTTCTAAAATTTGGAGGCAATTACCCCCAAAATCAATCCCAGCATTCCCTTTGTGATATGGAACCTTGTGGTACAATGTCAGAGAGATCCATACACTTACACACAAGTTATGTCTGGAAGTTACAAAAATGCTTATTTTTGGCCCCTTATTCCTTAACTGTGGGTACCATAACCCCCAAAATCAATCCCCACCTTCCTTTTGTGGTATTGAACCTTATGGTAAAATTTCATAGAGATCCATTCACTTTAACTAAAGTTAGAGTGCGAAAACTAATGTGTCTTCGGACGATGACGACGCCGGACGACGAGGCATACGTCATACCAATATACGACCACAAAAATTTTGCAGAAATAATTGGCTTTGGACTTTGAAAATTTCATAAAAATAACAGTTATATAGACTTTTTTTCTACACGTCTTCACATATTGAGCTGATTATTAATATGTAAGTATACTATGATGAGTTACAGATTGAGATTATGTTTGGTTCCGCTCCATTGATTTTTGCCGAAAATACAGGCTTTGGATTTTGAAAATTTTGTGAAAATAACAGTTATACGAACTTTCGTTCTCAAATTTCCACTCCTAAAAATGGCTTCAAGTTTTTTTACCAGCAGGGCCGAGATGAAATTCAAGATTTGATTGATTGATTGATAGATTGATGGTGTTTAACACCACTTTCAGCACTCTTGACTATATCGTTGCAGCCACTTTACATTCCTGGAGGAAGCCTGAGTGCCAGGAGAGAAACACTGATCCTAGGCAGAAAAATCCTAGTCTATTAAAATCGTAGTCAAATGCACCTGCGTGAGTGGGGTCTGAACTCACAATCTCATGGTTGACAGGCTGATAGTTGCTGTAGATGAACTACTTAAATCACTTTGCCACTCATTTAAAAGTGTAAATTGTTGAGCTTTTACTTTTCATTCAAAAACACATTTTAAATTTTATCCGGTGTTATTTAGGTTTTGGACACACATTTCTATGGCAATACTCAGATGTCAACATCAGTTAATAATCAGTAACAGACAATATAAACTGTTATCACAAAGATATGTCTTGCCTTTTTGTAATTTTGATAATGCAAATGTTGAAATTAAAATAGCAATACTTTAATATGTAAGTTATGCAAATATTCAAAGTTGATGAACCATGACTGAAGGTACATGGGTAAACAATCTCCATGGAAATGAGATGTGCCAATGCTAATACAACTGCATACCAAATACCATTGACTTATTATAAGTCGTTCTCTTTAAACAAACCTAAACACAAACATTAACTTGTAAACTATGTAAAAGTTTCAAAGTCAATGAACCATGATGAGGGGGTGGGGCTATATAATCTCCTTGGAAACAATACTTGCAAATGCCAATAAATTTGCATACTAAATATCATTGACTTAACATTAGCAGATCTTAAACTGATCTAATCATAAACTAATACATGTAAACTAAGCAATAGTTTTAAAGTCAATAGACCATGACTGAGGGGGCGGGACCAAATATTCTCCATGGAAGTGAGATGTGCTAATGCTTATACAATTGAAAACCAATTAACATTTGCCTACCACTAATATTTCCCCTTGAACTGACCTAATCACAAACTAATACATATAAACTAAGCACAATTTTCAAAGTCAATAGACCATGACTAAGGGGGTGGAGCCAAATAATCTCCATGGAAATGAGATATGCCAATGCTTATACAACTGCATACCAAATATCATTGACCTACCACTAGTGGTTCCCCATAAACTGACCTAATCACAAATACATGTAAACTAAGCAAATGTTTCAAAGTCAATAGACCATGACTGAGGGGGCAGGGCCAAATAATCTCCTTGGGAATGAGATGTGCCAATGCTAATACAACTGCATACCAAATATGATTGACCTACCACTTGTGGTTCACCATAAACTAGACCTAATCACAAACTAATACATTGTTGACAACGCTGCCGACGCCGGAAACAGCATACCTATGTCTCGCTTTTTGACTCTGTCAAGGCGAGACAAAAAACACATTCAATCTCAACATGAGAAAGAGTGGCAAATAATCTCTGAATAATGTCCATTTTGAATTGGATATAATATTCGGTGATGTTTTTGATATTTTGAAATACAATATCATGAACATCATACAGCTATTCTATCACATTCCTGTTCAAGTCTGTTGCTCTAGCTTATTGGAATACACAAAATGCTGGCTAGTTAATTTCAATCCCTGCAATTTCTGGTAAATTTAGTATATTTAGGATGATGATGATGATGGATGGCTGCTTAACGTCTAGCAGCAAATTTATATGCATATTCAGGACGAGAACATGTTAATGTAATATGAATATTAACCCTACTTTGTACTAGACCAACATGCTAAGCCGGATTTTTAAGGTGCTAGTTCACAACTTGAAGGTAACAGTCTGCAGGAAGACATATCACCTTACCCAGACACATTATTCTAACTCTGAGCCAACCAGTCTTTGCTCTTACTCCCTAATGCTGCATGCTTAGTGACCAATTTTTTAGTCACTTCAGCAAAAATTCATAAATTATTCACCAGAGTTTGTATACTACAAATGTATGTACAAGTAGCAAAAAGGTAACAAACAAACAATGTAATTCAAAAATCTTATCTTTAAAATGTACTTTTGAAGATTTTTATAGAAATTGTTTCATGCAAAGAATCATTTAAGTATTATAACTTAGAACTTTGTCTTTCAGATTCATGCATTAATCACAGGACCATTTGACACGCCATATGAGGGAGGTTTTTTCCTTTTTCTAATACGATGTCCACCAGATTATCCTATCAGACCACCTCGAGTAAAACTGCTAACAACAGGCAACAAAGAAGTCAGATTTAATCCCAATCTATACAAAAATGGAAAAGTCTGTTTAAGTATTTTAGGGTAAGACCATGAAAAGAGAAATTACTTAAAATTTTGGTGGATAAGTTAATTTGTAGTAATACTGCTGATGCTATAAAGTATTTTGATATTACTGTGACTTGACTGTTAGTGTTGCTCTCCACCTATTGCAACTTATTCAAAATTCTGACCAAATTGCAATTTGTTTTGTAATACCAAACTGTTCAACTGGTCAGAAATTTGTACAAACTGCTGTAGAAAACCACAGTCAAGTCGTGAAAGTGCAAGGCGATAAAATAAAGCATACTTACAATCCTATAAGACTTTAATTCCACTTCAATGTTATTATGAAAAATCAGTCTAACAGTTTGTATTGTAAATTCACATATATTTTACTGAATATAAGATGTTTTAATTCAAATGATGTCTGATTCTCATGAATATAGAAGATTTTTTGAAAGAAAAATTGTATGAAAGCTTAGTTTGGACATTTTTATAGCAATTCAAAATTACTACCTATCACCTTTAGCATGACAATAACAACAGAGTAGGTGTGTTCGAATAACAAATTTTTACTAAAAGTACTTGACGACAGACTTTCCAAGTGGATCTTAAAAATGCATAACTTCAAAAAAACTTAATTTTTTGTGTGTGTTATCTAGGGTAATTAGTCTTCAACCTCTGACAATTTTTAGTCTGCCCTTCCACGAAATATTTAATTAGAATTTTTTTAAATGTTTTTGAACTTTCGAAAATTCCACTGGACCACAGATCAGACAATAGTTATAAGTTGACTAAATGCAGAAAAGTACATTAAACGATGCTCAATAGCTAGTAGATACATTTGTCTTTTGAAATACAACTGGTATATAAGGATCGTAAAAGTGCTACGTGGATAAATTTATCAGTTTTCAAGAGCGGAATTGGCAGCGTGTCATTCCTACAATGGCTTCCATTTTTACGATTGTAAAAATTAGCTGGCGTAATGGGGAGATAATTTTGACGAAGTAGAATCCTGACTGTTACAGTCAAGTCACAGTAAGAAAAATCCCACTTGACTTGAAAGCCAAGTGGGATTTTTTTAATGCATTGTGATGAATACTGATATGACCAAGGGTATCTATAGTTTTTGTCAATTGTGACTGATTTAATTACATACAACTGAAAAGATATTACTAATTTCAGTCAATTTCAATTTTTGAGGTAAAGATTGCATGTAGTAAAAACCCTTATGGACCTGGCTTCATAGTTATATTTTCCAGACAACATCACTACTTTAGAGAGAACAATAATAAAGTGCATTGAGGTGATCATTCTTTTCATCGTTTCTATGTACATATCAATGAAATATATACTCAGATATTCAAGTTACAAAATGATGTATAAAAGGATACTTGTCAAGAAATTTAATAAATTGTGCATGGTGCATGCATTCTTTTTCTAAAGATAACAATGACATCACTGTCACTGCAAAATGAATGTAATATTTAAAGTTGAAGTTATCACCCTTATCCATATTGTACATAGTTGAACCACCTACAATTATGGACAAAGGAATTTAAGATATTGCCATATAATGGAAATAAATGTTTAAGTTTTAGTTCCTAATGGGAAATGGATATGGTCTTTACCCTTCAGTGCTTTATAAGCACTTTGATTTAACCTTCAGTGCTTTATAATCACTTTGATTTAAATTGCCAAGACTATTTTGTGACACCTTTTTTTGGTCAGATATAACATTTTTTATTTTAAGTTCTGAAGTTTTAAATACAATACTTTTCCAAAAATAAAACTACTGCCACTCAGTATTGTATGATAATCCACAAGGTTTCTCAAGTTACCTTTTAATGACTCCTAGCAGTATCAGAGGATTTACTTCATTATTTAATCATTTTTCAGCTAAGGCTATCTTCAGTTTAGAATTAGAATTTCAAAATTTTTGTTCATTATAATCTTGAGAAAATTTGGATTCCAGTGATATATAGTTTTATACAAATATCTTTATAAACAAAACCACCTCTAAGAAGACACCTAAAATTTATTGTTATACAGAAAAATGTTGATTGCACTTATAACTTAAGCACTTCAACTCTTTCAAAAATATATTCTTGCATTTACATGCATTAAAAAGACAACTATAAACTTAAATAGAGTTAGAACTACTTCAGTGATAGCAAATTGTTTTTTTGTGCTGAAATATTTTAACATCCTAGAATATGTTGACAATACCTGCCAATAAACGTGTTATGATAAAGTAATTAGTGTCTACTTGAGTTCATTGCTGTCCATAGCTAATGTCAATGGATGTAAAAGCTAAGATTCACTAAACAAATTACTTAGTCTTAAAATTGAAATCTGAGATTGTAGTTTTACTGTCAACAGTGTTTAGAGTAACAATATTAATGTGTATTAATATAATGTTATGATTTAATTTTTTAGGACATGGGCCGGTCCAGCCTGGAGTCCAGCACAAAGTTTATCAAGTATTTTGATTTCCATACAGTCATTATTAAATGAGAAACCTTACCACAATGAACCAGGATTTGAATGGGTATTTAATCATTTTATTTCTGATAAAAGAAAAGAAAACAATTTTATTCACAACCAAATATTTAATCTAAAGAATACTTTGTGGCTTTGCTAATTTTCCAATTATTAAGGGGACCATCATTTGAATTTTCTGGGAAAACATGCCATTTTGATTTCAGTTTAAAAAGACTTTTAGTTTTTTTTTTCAGTTTTAAGGTAATCTCAACTGCCAAACTGCATATTCTTTAGGAAATTTTACATATACATAAACCAGAATAAAATAGTACCAGTTGGGTAATGTTTGCTCCTTTACAGTATTACAAAATTTTTTTAATTCTATTTGGTAGGAAAGAAATCCTGGAGATGCACAACGATATAATGATGTTATTCGTCATGAAACATTAAGAGTAGCTGTATGTGATATGTTAGAGAGAAAATGTCCGTGTCCTGAAAGCTTGTAGTAAGTTTGCACAATTTATTGACTTGCAAAGTTCTTATAAAGAATAGCCAAATTCATAACTTAAAGTGTTAGTTTATGGGCATTTTTGAAATAAGCGAAACTCTGAACAAATATCCATATTCATATTCATATTATTCAGTTGGATTGTCAACTTGAGATTACCGAAATTTTTTGTATGCTTGACAAAATGTACACAGAAATTGTTTTGAGTCTTAAGGGTCAAAATTACCTTTTTTACATTTTTTTTGGTCAAATGATTATCTTGGGATCACACTGTTTAGTTTATTTCAACCAGTCCTAGTTTTATGCTTGGGAAAACTCATACATTTAAAAAATGAAAACTCAGAAATTATTGCAAGGTTTTTATTAATGCGAATAATGTGACTGGGTGAGTATAGCAATAATAAGGATTTGCATTCTGACATCTGTATGAAGCTTTTACTGAAATCGCAATTATTAATCTCAAATTTTACTTCAGTCTTCAATAATCACAATGATAAATGCACGCAATAATTTCTGAATTTACAGTATAACTTTTAGAATACAAATAATATATATATATATATATATATATATTTATATACACAAGTCTAAATTGAAAACAACGTTCAAACCTATGATTGCGTTGGATAAAAACCACAATTTTTATACGTGTGCATGCAAAACAAAGTTCTTGGTAGAGGGGTCTAAATATATATATATATATATATATATATATATAAACAAGTCTAAATATATGTATGAAAATGACCATTTGATTTTCTTCTTTTTACTTGTGTATGTTAATCAAACGACAATCAAACAATCATATAACTTGGTACTCATTGTAAATTCATTTTTGTGTGCATTTATTATTGTGATTGTTGAACAAAGGACAACAATGCATGATTACTGGTAATTATGATCATTTATATCCTATGAATCTATCCTGTCACAATTTATGAAATAATTTTAAAAAAATGTAAAATTGCTAAATTTACAGTAGCCTATGATAATGTTTCATTTTGCTGGAAACAGTAATGTATTTTGTTTGTTTTCCTTCTATATGATATAAAAGTAAGGAGATGAGGTACGATTGCCAGTGAGACAACTACCCATCGGATTTACAGATGACATGGATGTAAAGCAACTATAGGTCATTGTTTGTTTCTTAATTATTCAAGTTAAATGATGAACTTTATTTATATGCACAAAGAATTTAATTAGAATTAACTGTCTTTACCAATAAATATATCAATGATATGGATGAAAATATCCAGTTTTAAATCTAACTCCTAAATGTTGTGCAGTTAGTTGAGAAGCAGCAAAGATGAATTTTCAAGTCTATTGTTGGACACAGTTGGGGATTGAACCCACAACTTTAATGATATGAAAAGAAAGAAGAATATTTGTTATTAAATACTTGATTTGTATGCCCCCCGCCGTCACCAGAGGGAGCATTAAGTGTTGCCCTTGTCTGTCCATCTGTCTGTACATCTGTCCCGAAATTGGTTTCTATTCTCTAACTTTAGTTTGCCTCAACTAAATGTTATGAAACTTATACACGATGCTTATTACCACAAAAAACAGATCAAGTTCGAATTTGGGTGGTGTCATTTTTACCGTTCTCGAGTTATGCCTTTATAATGTTATATGCAAGCAGGGGCATCATCTGTGTCCCATGGACACATTCTCCATTTATTTAATAAAATTTCATAATAATATCAATTATAAAAATGATTAAAATAGTTGAAGAATTTGAAAAGAAATAAGGGTGCCCACTACTTTGTCACAAAATAAAACAGGAAGAAAATCGTTAACAACATTTGAATCAACCATTTCATGCATTCCTTGATTGAGGTACTGAATAAACCCCACACCGACCAGGCAATTTGAATTTTAGAGTAAAATCCTGCGGAATATAAATCCTCTAATTTGGTAGTTTAGTAAAATTTATTTATACTCCTTCTAAGCTTATAGACTGTTCTCACCAGATGGCTTTTTTCTGGGGAACTTTAGCAGCTACGAAGCAAGTTTATATCCATGTATTGTAATGAGTGTTAAAAAGGCCAGACAAGAAACATGACTATAAGTTAAGAGCTTTCTGCATTGGATTCTTTACAAAATTGTATATTTTAGAGATAACTGTATTGTATTTGAAGCTTTGCGGACGTCCATTGGTAGTTTTACTGTCGCAAATTTAGTTTACCTGGCGACCCGTAGCGGAGACAGGTAAACAGATATTTGCGACAATAAAACTACCGATGGATGTCAGCAAAACTTCAAATACAATACAGTTATCTCTATTCTAATGCAAAATAAACAAATTATTCAATTTTAGTCATTATTTCAGTGTAAAATTTTCATTAAATGAAAATTCCGCGAAATGATGTTATCTTCTTTGGCGCCATAACTAGGTGACGTCATAGGTATGCTTCTGGCATCAAACGTAAACACCGGGCGTTTTCTGGCTTCTTGTTCGCTTCAGAATGTAATAAAATTTGATAAAAAGAAGATTTCTAGGTGCAAAATGTGAATTTTTTTGCTTATTATTGGAGAAATTACATGTCAATACATTCTGGAATTCAAAATGTCAGCTTCCTTAGTTACAGACAGGGAGATAGAGAATTTTACGCTTATTGTCATCCATTCAGAAACATTGATACAAAATAATTGCATTAGAATTCTACATTGATTAAATATCTGTAAATTATTGTTGCTCAGATTGTTACACAATTACCAAATATATCACTTATTTGTCTTAACTGATAAATTTTTAATCTATTTCAGTGATGTAATGGAATCCTCATTTCTAGATTATTATGAATATTATGAAACTGTGTGCAATTCTAACATGTCCAAACAAGGTCAATCGATGCAGGTAACTATATAAGTAACTTGTAAGGTCAAGTCACTCTTATTTATTGTTATCATATGATAAGGTATTTCAAAATAGCATTCACGTTACAGACTGTTTAAGGGCCAGTTTGGGGCTGTGGGGTGTTAGATCATTTTCCATTTTTGAAACACATAGAAATTGTCAATCAAGAATTGGTGTGGTGACTTTCTGTTTCTAAATCTTAATGGATCCTTACTCAAGCAGAAAAACCACACATCATTTATTTCCTCATTCATTTTCTCCATGGCCCCCTTTGTTTTTGCATCATGAGTCCAAAAATTGTCATATCTATGATGGTCACAATCAAAATATATAATAAGATGACTGAGATAAATATTTTAAACACATTTAGAATAATAATAAAGATCCTTCATTTTGTAATTAAATCACCATTAATAGAATGAGCCAGCTAGTTACCATACATGTCAGGTGATAAACCTGATATTTTTTGGAGTATCCACTCTTCAAGGGTTTATTGGAATTGTCATCCTATCAAGACTATTTATTTGATTTTTACACAACTATCAAATTCAGGAACAAATAGACAATTTATTACATGGTTAACAACACTTATCAAATTTTGCCACTTTGATGCTGATAGGCGATCCAACTTGGTTTTGTTTTGTTTTTCTGTTGGTTTTCCAAATTACACTGTTCTACATGTTATAATGATATTTTTTTTGCTGATAGCTTGTGTTGTGAATTTTTTTCTCATTAAAATGTATTCTTGTAGGATCCCTTTGGTGACAGGAGGAAGCAATTTGATTACAAAGGCAATTTAAAAAGACTTAATGTAGTTAAAAAGAAACTTGAAGAGAAACTGAAGACCAAACCATTATCAGATGATGAAGATTCAGATCTAGACACAGACTCCAGTACTAATAGATGATATACCAATATAGACTGCTTTCTGCAGTGTTTCTGATTTAGACACACACTCTATTACAAATAGATGACATAGCAATATAAACTGCTTGCTGCAGTGTTTAATGATCTCTAAATGAAGTAGTGAATTCTTATTGCATAGTTACACCAGCCAATAACAATACTGTTTGTTTGCTAGCAATAACTAAAGCTTTGCTCTTATGAATGTTCATAATTATGGTAGACAACATAAGTAGTGTTGAAATGAAGCTCCTTCTTTATTAGTCCCCTATCGACGAAGTCGAAGTGGACTTTAGGTTTGCACTCCGTCTGTCTGTCTGTCTGTCTGTCTGTCTGTCTGTCCGTCAGTCCGTCAAATCAGTTTTCCACACTTTTTTTTCCTCATGCTTGAAGATATTGATTTGAAATTTGGTATATAGTTTTATCCTAACAAGTTACAAATCAAGTTAAAATAATGTTTCGGTCTGATGATAATGTGCAGAGTTATGGTCCTTGGACTTAGAAAATTCACTCAAATAATCAGTTTTCCACACTTTTTTTTGTCATGCTTAAAGATATTGATTTAATAATTGGTATACAGTTTTACCCTGACAAGTTACAGATCAAGTTTAAATAATGTTTCGGTCTGATGATTTTGTTTAGAGTTATGGTCCTTGGACTTAGAAAATTCACTCAAATAATCAGTTTTTCACACTTTTTTCGTCATGCTTGAAGATATTGACTTGATATTTGTTATGTAGTTTACACCATGACAATTTATTGATCAAGTTAGCATTCTGTTCCAGTACAATGAATTCTTAACCGGTAGGGGACTATGTATTGCCATGCAATACTCTCAGAATTTTTGTTTCAAATATTTTGATATCTGCTGTTAAAATTTTAAAATTCTTAATGCCTAAGGCACTTGTGGCTATTTTGATGGCCCTTCAGTTTTCATCATAATTTTCAACACACATGATTGTATATTTATTACAAGAACTTAATATTTCACATAAGGCTACCGGTATATATATAGGTTTTCAGCAGGACCCTTAATGACACGTCTTAATCTCAGTTAATCTGAAAATACAGAATATTAACCAGGACATTTTTTATGACCTCAGTTAGTGAGTAATAATTGGGAATCATATCTATTGGTCCCAGGTTACAAATACAAAAAGTCTGCAGCTTTGTTAACTAATTTATCTTTGTACAAATCACTCTGTAACTACATCATGCCACACATCTTGGTCATTAGTAGTAGTTTTGATTATTGATAAAGTAGTTATAACTATGCAATAGTAACAAGTTGTTCTCCTGAATATTCTCTTTCATGTGTGTTCAACAGGATTGACTATGTTCTTCATGCCACCTTACCCCAAAAGGTTATACAATAAGTTGTACATCATGATTTGATTGTTTTCTTCATGCCACCTTACCCCAAAAGGTTATACAATAAGTTGTACATCATGATTTGATTGTTTTCTTCATGCCACCTTAGCTGAAAAGGTTATACAATAAGTTGTACATCATGATTGATTGTTTTCTTCATGCCACCTTAGCTGAAAAGGTTATACAATAAGTTGTACATCATGATTGATTGTTTTCTTCATGCCACCTTAGCTGAAAAGGTTATACAATAAGTTGAACAACAAGAGTCAATCCATCAGTAGCATTATACCTTGTTTAGGAATGTATTTTATAAATGCAATTAATAATTAGCAATCATTAGCAAAAAAGCTGTATGGTTGCCTATAATTGCTTTCATCTACTTCATTTGAACTTTGGTGAATAGTTGTGTCATTGGCAATCACACATCTTATTTTTATACATATATAAATAGGCTGCATTCATTAAAATTTCAGTCCAACATTTAAACATGACTACTTGCTTTAGAAGCAATGCTTGGTTTCAGACAGACTTAGGTTATAAAGATGAGTTACTAAGGAAGTTAAGAAGTTGGTTTTTTTATATTGCTTTCTAAGGGATGTGTGATATTTCATGGCATAACCCCATGGATAAAATGTAGATTTTTCTTTTATTACATGTTTTGTACTACTGTATCAAATAGTGCTACCTCTTAGATAAGGGCAGTTTCAGAATTAAACACATTGGAGGCACTCTTTTAAACCCTAACCACCCATGATATAAAACTTTAATTTTACTTACAATTCATCAAAAATTCTAGGGAACAAGCAACCACCCACAACTAATTATTTGGTTGCCTCTAATACCATTTGTGTTATTTAACAATGTATTCCTGAATCCACAAAAAAAGAATTAAGCCACAGTTTGTTTTCTTTAATAATTTTACAAAATCTCTAAATTTATAAATGGTATTTATCATGGCCTGTTTATTTTCAGATTAACACTGTGTAATATAATGCACTAATCTTTATGTTAATGTCTATATCATGTACATAGTTTGTTGAGTTTAAAATAGTTATATATATATTTGTGTAATTTAGAAAATAGAAAGAGAATGTTTAATATATTTTCTTCAATGTGATCTTTCCAATGACAGAAGAAAATATATGAAACATCATTTTTATGATTCTTTTTTATTGTTACTTGTGAAATGGAGTATTTTATATTTAATTTTTTTTTCTATTTATCATAGACAGTTTTATTTATAGCATTTGTTAAAAGCATATAGCATAATTGTGAATGAAAATAACAAGTTCATACATTTTTTACAAATTTTGTAATATAAATCAGTGCTATATACCTTATAACTATGATATGAGAATTGAACAATACTTTTAATTGTCAGTCATTCCCTACATCATGGGACTAAATGTGTTCACCATAGCTTTCAAGTATACAAAGTCAAGTAAGTTTTATTAAGCATATATGTTCAAACAAAAAACTTGTATATTAGTATTGCAATTTGAAAAAAACATTGCCTTTGAAGGCCTAATTTTTGGCCTAAATATTTGTCTATACAATTTTATTACATCTTGTTTATATATCACTATCTTTATACCGGTATTATTGCGTAAATCTTTGGACTTTTAAAAATATTTCATGTTTGTTTAGCATCTTCAATTCTTCATCTCAAGTTCAGTCCTGTGAGAGCTGCAAATTTGCAGATAAGAATTTAAAAATTTCCCACTGTAATTTCATACCAGAATTTACGACAAACAGGACGACTCTTCCTTGTGTATTGTTAAGTTTGCTTCTTTGATCTGTTATCACATTTGTACGGAGTTTACATATACAGGTATCAGTTTACTTTTATTGCGAACCCAATGAAAGTTTTCCACAGTGCCATCTCTATCTTGACCAGGTATTTAAACTTTTGCAAGTTCTCCTGTCCTATTGAATAAATACAATAGCTATTGTTCTCTGTGTAGTTTATTCTCTGGGACCTTTAAATTTCTTCTAAGAGAAATCTATCATTCATTGATTAAATTACCTGAGTAAAAAAAAATTCTTACATGTAGACAAAAATACTTTTTTTATACTCATTAATTGCGTGTGATGATGTAGTTATTCAATATTAATAATATATTTTCATTCAGTTCAATATAAACATTGATTCAATCATAAAAAGTTGATTTCTGACAAAACTTTCAACATTGTTCCTTTTAAAAAAAAATTGTTTGACATAAATAAGAACTTGAAAATAATGATGTTTCAAATTAAGATCTTCTTAAATGTATTCTATAACCAAACAAAAAAAAAATCAAATTTCAATAGGAACATTGATAAAACTTTTTTTAGAAATCAACTTTTTATGATTGAATCAATGTTTATATTAAACTGAATGAAAATATATTATTAATATTGAATAAATACATCATCACACGCAATTAATGAGTATAAAAAAAGTATTTTTGTCTACATGTAAGAATTTTTTTTTACTCAGGTAATTTAATCAATGAATGATAGATTTCTCTTAGAAGAAATTTAAAGGTCCCAGAGAATAAACTACACAGAGAACAATAGCTATTGTATTTATTCAATAGGACAGGTGAACTTGCAAAAGTTTAAATACCTGGTCAAGATAGAGATGGCACTGTGGAAAACTTTCATTGGGTTCGCAATAAATATGCAATGTTTTGAAGTAACTTCTGTTAAAAGAAGATATAATAATTCTATTTTTTTACAAGGAACCAGATATAATAAATTGGTTGAAATGTTTATTACTATAATAAAAAAAAAACCAAGGAATTAAGTTTGTTTTAGGGATTTGATATTGATGGCAGTAACTTAGAGCTTGACATAAGGATCAAATGCCTTTCTGCAGTTGATGCTCTCCTTTCATTCATTTTATCTACTTGGGGGTTCCATTGCACCTAAGAATTAACGGTTACACTATTTTGGCTCCTGTGGGTACATGTAAACAAACCTCATAATGAAATATATAAATATATTAAATGCAACACACATATATTTATAGAAAATTAAACACTTCAGATTCTCAGTAACAGAGTGAATAACAGGAATAATTATTTATGGATTATTATCGTCTTCCATTTGATTTAATTGACACTGTATACTAAAAACAAGCTTATCCTGGATAATGGACATGCATTGGGGAGCAAATGTGTTGTTTTATCACTTGCTTATTCAATAAAGTTATGGGAATTTGTAGAGTTTTATAATGTATTTATTCAGTTTGCTAATAGTACTTGTATGTAACAAAAGTTTTACAGTAAAATCTAATCATGTACAGCAGATAGATCCAATCATCAGTATTAATCAATATAATGCAGTCAACAGTACAGAATTTCATTTACAGTTATGCATAATGCAGCTTATTATATAGCAATCATTTATTGATTTCTTCTGCTGGACAGAAGTAATATGCATCAAGAAAATAAAAATACTAATTTATTTCATATGTATACCATATAAGTGATACATCTGTTCAATTTGTTGTTAATTTTTTTTGTCTAACCAGAATTGTAAATAATATTCAACACCACTTATTAATAGCCCCATTGATTTGATACCAGAATAACCCAAATCTTTTACTTACTGACAAAGTTACAGCTATACATAGGAACTATTTTGTTAAAAATATGTTCTACTTTCTTGTATGTTCTTTGGGACCATTCCCGAATTAGTGGCTTTATACATTATACAGTTCAGTCAGTAATGAAATATTTTAACATATTCTGATTTTTCATATTAAAATCTACAAAGAAAGTTAATGTTTTATTTTCAATAATTTAAAGGCCATTTACATCAATATTGAAGATCTTTTAAGGATTAGTAAAATCTTTTCAAATTATTGCTTTTTTCAAAAGGGTTTGAGTAAACAATGTTATAATTATAGAATCGCTTATCCAAGAATTTAGATATAAAAAAAAATACAACCAGTGACCTAACGAACAACACACTGAATTCTAATGTTTTTTTTTCATTTTCAAAACATTTCAGCTTTAGGAATAACTGTTGTATTTTGATTTCTAAATGTAACAAGTATATTTTTCCAGCAAAACACACTTGTCACAGTAAAAGACTGAAAAAGGTATATGCATTAAAATCAAGATTAAAGTCTAAAAATACAATTTGTTTTCCTTCTATATATTTATGCACATATGTATTATTTATTGTCCTCTTTCTGGAAATCATCATGTTGAAAACACAATTGAAAAATCATTTAAATGAATGATAACTCAATAAAATCATCATATCTACATAAAGTTTGATTTTTGTCTTGCCTACAATGAGTGTCACCGAATGCCAGATATTGGGATGCTAATCCTGCAATGACAGCATAAACTTTTTGTATAAAGCGTTATATTTCATATTTTGTATATGGTTTATGTTATCTCATTTTCATGGTTCAGCTACTGATAAAAAAAAAAATATATAGTTTTTTAACACACATTTTTTTTAGCTCTTACGAGTAATATGACAACTACATTATGATAGAATCATTGCAAGGTATACACATGTGTCAAAAGGGTCACTTGATGTTGACCTCATTCATGGTTTATTGGTCAATGTTAATTTTTTAGGAATTAGGTTTGATTTTCTTTTTGAGCAATAGTTTACCTATAATTGGTGAATGATATACATGTAATTGTAAGGTGTACATATTTGTCTGGCATGGTTCATCTGACCTTGACCTCTTCTTCATAGGTCATTGGTCAATGTTAAATTTACGTGATTAGGAACGGCTACCCAATTGGGAGACAATAACCTACAGGGGAGGCATGACTAACAGCAATAAAGGTACATTGAGAGTTGGACAAAATAACCTCATTACTACAGGTATCCAAATCAAAACAGCAAACTTTTTTACAGCATATAAATTGTAATGAATATTTGAAACTACTTATATATATGTCTTTCCAAAATGGGAGGCAGACTACCAGTCTTGGAGATGAACTAAACAACTATGATGGGAGCTATAACCTGTGAACTATTAAATACAAATTTCAAATGTATTTACAACCTGTAATTTTTATAAAATTAATTGTGCACCTCCTCCCTATCTCTCCTTGCATGAACACTGCTCATATCCTGTTTTATTTCTCATCAAACCTTTCTGAAAGACTACTAGGTGAAATCCAGTTGCATATAGTGCTTCAGACTTTTATTCGAAATGGATCGCTACAATCGTACGAGGCAATAGTTAAACTATCAGTAAATGGCCGACTTCTATTAGTACTTTTCTTATTTTTGGCAGAATTTAAACATAGGAAATGCTTTTGCAAGGATGGATTTTCAACAAAGCTTTAAATTTAATCAAAAAATAAAAATGAGTATTTGTTGACATAATATGGTTCTTGATCCATACAAACTAGTCCTCTAAAAAGTGCTGGTTTTAATCTTAAATTAGGAAAATTCATGTGATTCACAGATTACTCAACACAGCTAATGAATTTGTATGACCACCATCAGGGTAGAGTGCCTGAAATTCTGGGTTTATACATAGCAATAATAGTTAACTCCACAAGTGCTGATCTCACTCGACCACCAGTATCATTTAATAAATGGCAAGGCTACAAGTCATCATGATATTATAGAGGAATTCCATGTGTTTGCTCTGCCAGTGATATTGTCATTATCTGATTTTTTCTTATCCACAATGTAATATAATGTAATTGATTTAGTCTCCCAAAGGGACAGAAAAGGATAAAATTGATAGGTTCAAGCATAAATCTATAATTACAATCCCATGTTTAACCATATTTAAATATTGTCCATTAAAATAATGACATCTTCATATAAAATTGTCTCACTTTAAAGGAAAATTTTATAAAAATGAAATTACTTTTGCTTTGCATCCTTGGCATTCTGTTTGGTTCAATATGAACTGTATTTCGTAGTTTAAAATCTTTCCTTTAATTTTTAACCGGATTTTCGAAGGAAATATCGGTTATTAAAATGGTGATGTACAGCGGGCGGCTGGGCGGATCTATGGGCACCTGCCAAACAGTGTCAGCACAATAGCATGAAAACGCTTTAACAAATTTTTTTCAAATTTAAATATGTTGTTTCCTGGGACTTAATGAAGGTCTAGTTAAATTTTCAAGATTTTAGTATATCTCCTTTGTGACTTATTATTACTAAGCATAATGTCTTATCTCACAATAAAAATTGGAGTGACAGATTTATTTGAAAATTATCTATTTCCTAAGTGGTAATGATTATAAGCTATATTATTAGACATTTTGAAGTTAATTACATTAGTAATTATTAATTAGATCTGGGTTATATCTTAGCATATAATATCATTGGAGTGACAGATTTATTTGAAAATTTTCTGTTTCCTGATAAGATCTGTAGGACTGTATATATAAAGTTTGAAATTTACTAGAAGGACTGTATAAATGAAATTTGAAATTTACTGTTCATTATTAGACATTTTGTAGATAATTAAGTCTCCCTAAACCATATATATTCTTACCCCCACCCCCTTCAATTTGAGAATGTGCTTTTATCTAGTAAATGATTGAGATCCCCACCCCTAAACCATATATATTCTTGTATGGGACAAAAAAAACAAATCAAATGAAATATTTGGGGAGTCCCCGGGTTCACCCCCACCCCCCTTCTTTTTGAAAACTTGTAAACGGTCAAGATCCCCACCCTGAAACCATATATCTTCTTGTATTGGACAATAAAACAAATCAAATGAAATGTAAGGTGAGTCCCCTGGGGTCACCCCATCCCCCTCCTATTTAAGAACTTGTGAACGGTCGAGATCCCCACCCCTAAACCATATATATTCTGGTATGGGACAATAACACAAATCAAATGAAATATAGGGGAAGTCCATGGGGGTCATCCCCACCCCCTTCTTTTTGAAAACTTGTAAT